CACCCACACCCACACCCACACCCACACCCACACCCACACCCACACCACACCACCCCACACCCACACCCCACACCCCCCACACCCACACACACCCCCACACACACCCACACACACCCACACACCCACACACCCACACACCCACACACCCACACACCCACACACACAGACACACAGACACACAGACACACAGACACACAGACACACAGACACACAGACACACAGACACACAGACACAGACACAGACACAGACACAGACACAGACACACACACACACACACACACACACACCGCTTAGGGTCTCGCAGCAGCCGGCCGACAAACACGTATATACATACACTCACCTAGTCTTCACCCCCTCGTCCATGCCCGGCGATTTTCGGGCCAGATCTCGACCTCCGGCGGCCGTTGGGGACGCACCTGGCCTCCCCAGAACGTCCTCGACGGGGCCCACCTGCTGCAAAAAAACACCCCGCTGGCAACCACCCCGGCGCCCGAGCACCTCCGAAAGCGACCACCCCTCTCGGACGCGCCCGGTGCCTCTAAAACAAAGCTAGGATCGGGATAAATCGCTCCAGAGCGTTCCGCAGCGCTCTCAGAACGTTCCGGAACGCTCTGGAGCGGCCGCGGCGCCCAATACATCCTCCAAACCCGCCGATTCTCAGAGATTTCGATTTATCCCGATCCGATATTGTCCCGATCTTCGCGTCGTTTTAGCCTCCGCCCGCGCTCCTTCCCCCGCCGCCCCGGCCGTCCACCTGCAAAGCCCCACACCATCTCCACCGCATCCCGGCTCATGAGCGGGTCGCCGTGCAGCCCCAGCAGCGGCACCACCCGCGGCGCCGCGCAGTGGAGCAGCAGCACCCGCGCGCCCCGCCAGAGGGTCCGGCGGCCGCCGTGAAGTGCAGCCGGACGGCTGCCGCTTAAGGGACGCCCCAAGTCGGGGGCGAGCCCCCCTTGGTGGCCTCCAAGCCGTCCCTGGCCATCGTTCGGACGTCCATTCCCAGTGTTTTTTTCAATTTCGTGCGTGGTTTTTCCGCCCAGTGATCAAGGATGTTCATAGATTGTCCTCGCCGAAGGAAAAATGCAAACGTCCGAGCGATGCCGAGGGGCGCTGGAGCAGCAGCCACGAGAGGGCCCAATAGGAGCAGCGATACCCTTCCAGGCTCGAGCAGCGCCTCGCTGTCTCGGCGACACTCCGATCGCGCGCGCGCGCGGGAGCGGAGCGCGCGGGCGCGGAGCGCGAGGCGGAGAGGCTCGCGCACGGGCCGGGTGGTGCTGCGTCTGGCTCGGGCGCCCATCGCCGATCGAAGAGGAACAAGAAAAGGCGACACCAACACCACCAGGGCGAGGAGATGCGAGGAGCATTGGGGTCTCGGTCCCCCCCTCTCGCTCGAGACATCCCCAGCCTCCAGCTCGGGGAGGCCTCGTGGACCTCCTCGCTGGAGGTGGGCCCCCTGGTGGTGTTGGTGTCGCTTCTCCTCCCTCCCATCGAAGGGAGCCGCGCGGAGCTCCGATAGTGTGCCCATCGGCCAGAAGAAGCAGGTAGAAGCATGAATTAGGAGGGCATTGAGAGTAGATCGGGTGTCCGCCCGCCCCCTAAGGAGGACGGCAAAGGTAAAGACACTCGATCATTGAAGTAGGGAGGCGCTGGAAGTAGACTGGAATCTGGGAATCCAAACATACCTACTTTTTACGACCGAAAGCGTATGGCCTTGACCATGCCCTGGATCTTCGATGCCATGTTGGGCGCGCGAAGGCGCGTGCGGACTGTCCTGCCGCAGGCCGAGGAGCGCGGGCGCGGGACTACCACAGGGGGCCCCCCGGGAGCTCGTCGTGCCTCCCATGCCCGAGAAGCCGAACCGCGGCTCGAGGCCGCCCGAATCCGGGCCTGCTCCTCCGCCTGGTCCCCGTCCTCCTGCAGCTGCCGATCCTGCTGCTTTCTTGCGCAGGCTGCCGAGCGCACCCGCTCGTAGCGTCAGGGACGGCGGCAGCGGCCGCCGACAGCAAGAGGGGAGCGAGCCTCGGGCACCGTGCGCGCCACGCTGAAGAGGGACGGCGAGATTCGAGACCCTCCTCCTCCTCCTCCTCCTCCTCCTCCTCCTCCGCCGCCGCGTGGGGCCCGCCTCGGGCCCGGCGATCGGCCCGCGGAGAGTGGGCGCGCCGGACCGTGCGGTGCACATGAGCAACAACAGGAACCTCCCAGACCATCTTGCCGGCTCTTGCGAATCGACGCTGATCGACCCTGGTCGCCGCTGCATCGACGGCAATGGACGGTCATCGGCACGAAAGCATCGATGACCAAACGCGAATCGACGCCAGCGCACTCGGAAGACGGAATTAAGAGGGTACCCAAGGCTCCCATGACTTGAAGCCGAAGAGGCGGGGTTTTGCGCAGGATGGCACAGCGATCTTGCGCCGCGGCTTACGTGGGGCCGAAAGGTCGGCACGCTACATTGGAAGCGAGTGGCGCTGGCGCGCCATCTTACGCGGGAGGCGTAGCCTCGCACGTCGGCGCAACCACCCCCCTCAGTTTGCGTCGCTCAAACAGCTACGCACGACAACTCTGCAAGGGGGCTGTGCTGCAAGCGTGGCTGGAAAAACTCCTGCTGTTTCCAGGCGAACGCAGGCCAACATAGACAGGGAGGCGGGGAAACGAGAGAAGAGAAACCCCGCGCGCGCGTAGACGGGCCAGTTTATGGCACCCGCGCAACTAACAATCGCGAGCACAACGATGGCAGCGCGGACAAGGAGGTCTGGGAACAGAGACGAGAAAAGGGCAATGTGGATGCAAGAGGTTGTCACGGCACCGTTTCGAACTCAACCAACACTCTACAATTCTCAACTGCAGAAAGAAACATGCCAAATACGAGCACGGACCCAGTGAGGGCGGTGACCTGAATGAGCACCCAACACCAAAGAGTACTGGTACGATGAGGAAGCGGAGGCGGCAGTGGCAGGGATAGAAGAAACAAGGGAAGGCCGATGCATCCTGGCGACGTGCGGCTGTATTTGAGGAACCGCCGCAAAACTAGAACTCAGCAGAGGGAAGAGGAAGAAAAACGACAGGAAGGAGGCGACAATGACGACGAAACGACCGAGATACGAGGCAGAGAAACACCCGGAAAACGCCAAGGCAAGCACATACGTAGTTGGCGGACCCAACCGCCCACGAAGTGCAAGAGCAGAGAGGACGACTTGAAAAAGCCCCCAAACACACAAATAAACAGACACGAGCACCAAGATTCCCAAGATTGTCCCATATGTTCTGGATCTGCGCCTTCCCGCCCACTCTCCATGCTCTCCCACACTTTCCTGGGAATCGGCTATGATTTGTATATGTGTGCTGTATCTCCCTGCGCGGCCGCCCTCGTCTAATTCCCCCTTGCACGCGAGATAATTCGCTCTTCGGCTGCCCAGATTGGCCACACGCTGGAGCGGGCTGGCTCTGCCTCGCCGCCGACGAAACAAAAAGCGTGTTTCCCTCCTGCGACGGAGCCCAGCACGCACGCTCGCCACTCCCCAGCGCCTTGGATGGTCGTGGCCTGCCGCCTGGGGGTCCCGCCTGTGGACAAGGGGGGCAGTGGGGTGGTCCCGTTGTGGACGGGGGAAACTCAGGCCTCCTCCTCCTCCCTCCTCCTCCTCCTCCTCCTCCTCCTCCTCCTCCTCCTCCTCCTCCTGCGCGGGCGGTGTGCCGCAAGGCTCCGCGGACGAGGTACAGCAGCACCAGGAACAGCTCGAACCTGCGGGCCTGGCCCGCCGCCACCTGCGGCACCAGCACCGCACGCAGAGGCAAAGCTGCGCAAGCACGGGAAAGCCACCGGCGGAGGAGGACGACGAGGAGGCCCAGGAGAAGCAAGGGGAGAAACGGCGACGAGGTGTAGGAGGCGGTAGCATCCCACGCGACGCCCGACGGTCTCGAAGAAAAGACGCGACGTTGACAGAACACAAACAGCAGGAACTCATTGCCCCATCGTCGTGCTTGCGGGCGCCATGAGCACTGAGGCCCTACAAGCCCCGTCATCGGACTGCTGATGTTCCCCAATCGGTGCTTGCACTGAAGGGGTCCTAGCGGACATTGAGAAAAAATGTTCGCCGACTTTGGTAGCAAGCAGAGTTCCCGGGTTCCCGTATCCGGGTTCCCGGTTATTGGAACCGGGCCTGTGTCGGTGGGCTCTGGGTTCCCGGGCTCCCGGGCGCCCAGTCGATCTCCTCACCCAGAACCATTTGCAGATTGGGGTTTTTCAAGGGGCCCAAGGACACACAAATAAATACACACAAAGAAAATTATTCCCCATCTTTTTCTATATTTTCTTGGTTTTTGTCTTCCCCCCCACTTCCCATATTTTCCCATATTTGCCTGGGAGTCGACAGTTAATTGTGTCTGTGTGTTTCTTTCCCTCCTGCGTTTTTCTCTGATGTTCTCTTTTTGTCCCAACGTTGCACAACAGACCTCGAGCCCGGGGACGATCCCTGCGCGCGACGCAGCGGGCCCGGGACAAGCCCGGGCGCCGCCCGCCTCGCACGCCGCCGAGCAGTCCGCCGCGTGCCCGCACCGGCTGCGCGCACCACTGGCGAGGAGCCGATCGGGGCCCGGAGGCCTGCGCTGACGCCTGGCATGGCAACTCTCAGGAGGGACAAAAACACACAGACACAATCAATCGTCGATCCCCAAGAAAATGTTGGAAAATATGGGGAGTGAGGGGGAAGGCAAGAACCCAGAAAATATGGGGAATCTTTTTATTTGTGTGTATTTATTTGTGTGTCCCAGGGCCCCTTCAAACTCTGATCTCCGATTGGGGGTGTTCGGCTGGACCCAGAACGGTGGGCAACTCGGGGGCTGGGGGGCGAGACGTCATCTGTGAGGCGCCTGGGCGGAAAGCGCGACGGCCGCGGCCGCGTTCTGAGCCCGCCGCCGCCAAGTAAGGAAAGCGGCACTGGCCGCGGTGTTCCCCCCAATTTTCACATGCCGCTTCATCGAGGTAGTTGACAAGCCGCTTCTTGTGTGCTCTTCCATGGGATTATTTTCGTATTGTACCGATCAAGAGCCAGTTTCTTATTATTCGCGGTAGCGGGGGTGATGAGGGATGGGTGGGAATTCGGACATTACGATCAATCACGAAAAAAGGCCGCCAACATTATGAAAAACTGTTCGGAAAATCCGTAGGCCATCTTTGCAAACGTGACATATGATGTGGAGTGGTCCGAGAGGGGGGAAGGACCGATCACGGCAGTTATCGCCCATGCTTCACCAAAAACAAGTTCCAGTGCAACGTGTGCGTGGCCAGCGTGCGGCGTCATCGCCAATACTGCGCGGCGATGTCCAGCCATTGGACGCCCCCCAAAACATTGGCAGCGCCTGGCGCCGCGCGTTCTGGCTCTGACCTCCTCCCACAAGCGCGACCCCGAGCACCAGCCCCCGGGTGCGCGAGGCGACGCCCGCGCCACCCGCACGGGGGCAGCAAGCAGCGGATACAAACGGGGTGGGGTTGGAAAGTCCCAGGCCCTCCCCGCACGTACGCTCGTCACCGTTAACAGGGGTGGGGCGGGGGGACGGCGGTGACAGCCGCGACTCGCCAAAGGATAAAATTAGCCCGGCGGTAAGCCCCCCCGCGCGACAATCTATGTAACTTGCCCGTCGTGGTTTCCTGTTCGCCACGGCGGATGTTATCCTCGCGCTCTCTGCTGCGCCTCCTTTTCCTCGTCATCTGCGCCCTCCGTCATCTGCGCCCTCCTCCTCCTCCTCCTCCTCCTCCTCCTCCTCCTCCTCCTCCTCCTCCCCCTCGTCCTCCTCCTGCTCCTCCTCCTCCTCCTCCACGCCTTTCTACTCATTCTCCCTCCCTTATCCTCCTTACGTCTGCTCCGCCCAAGCACCTCCTGTGGCTCCTTGTCAAGGCAGGGCGATTTTCTTCGACGACGATGTGGCTGCGGGCTGCATGGGCACGTTATCCGATGGCCGAATCGCGAAGCCGTCGGGGCAGCCCTGCGGGCGAGGCCGTTGGGCCAGACCCGCGAGCCGCTGGGGCGCCGGCGCCAGCCGCTGTGACAACGCCGCAGGTCTCGAACTAATGGTTGCCGCGCTCAGGGGGGGGCAGCTTGAGCCCCAGCTCTGCCGCTAGCTGCTCCGCCTCGTCCCTGGAGTTCAACGCTCTCTTGTCGAACTCCTCGGGCGCCTCGCGCGCGGGCGCCAGCGGCCCGCAGCCCAGGAAGTCTCGCGCGGGAGGCCGCAGGATCATCATGTTACTCATGCGCGTGGCGCCCGAGAGTGTGAGGTAGATGCGCAGCTGCCGCTGCTCGACCGACGCGCCCGTGCGACCGGCGTCCCGTGCGACCGGCGTCAACATCGCTGGCGCACTCGACGGTGACGCCCTCGCGCAGCGTCTACCGCGCAGTCGTCGCCAGTGCCCTCTGCGCCCTGTAGCAGCAGCTCGGCAACCTTCCAGTACATCGTGGACCCCTGAAGCTGTGGACCTGCATCCAGATCCACCGCGGTAGGTAGCGGCGGCAAAGGAACTGGCCAAGTTCTTCTTCAGTTCCTCCAGCACGACGTGAACTAAACCTCCATGCCGCCGCGTGCTGGCGAGGCGCCGTGGATGCCCCCCGCCTAGGGCATACCCAGGACGTTCAGGAGTCTATCTTGGATGCGCCCAGCAGCACCGCCCTGGCATGGCCTTCCAGGAGCGCGAGAGCGGGGACCCCTGGGCGAAGCCGAAGCGGCCCTGGCCAAACCGCTACGCTCGGCTGCTGTCGTCGCCCGCCCGTTCCCGGATAATTGACAACGCGCGTCGCGGCGGCAACGCGGACGCCTCGACTCTCGACTCGGTCTGAGCCCGACTGGGCTAGCCGTCGGCCGCTGTGAAACTCTCGCGGGGGAGGGGCAGCCAGCGCGGGCGGTCGCGGAGCTGGGGCGCGCGGGGAGCAGCCGGAGAGGCCCCTGCGCGGAGGGCGCGGGATGGCCCTGGATATCGACTGCGCAAGACGCCTGGACGCAACGTCAGGCGGGCGCTGGAATGGACAAACGCGGAGGGGTGATTCGAGACCTGGTCCGAGATCATTGACAGCCCGGCAGCAGCCTGCGGCGCGCTCTTCGTAGGACGTTGGAACAGAGCCTGCGACGCGCGAGGCGGGAACTCCGCGGCTTAGGGGCCTGCGACCCCCTCGGCCACGACGGATTCAAGTGTGCCTTCCTGGCCGACTTGGCCGACGCCAACTACGACATTTGCGCCGCATGCCGCATCCGCGCCTTGGATGTCGACCGGCGCGCAGCGCGGCAGCCACAACAGGGCCGCCAGAGCCAGGCAGATGGGAAGCGACAAGGAGGCACGCGTCCCAGCGAACCGACCTGGCCCACGGGGGACCCATCCCAATCCCAGCTAAGCGGGCCCTGCCCGCGCCGCGGCTGCTGGCCCCGCCCCTGGGCGCGACCGCGACGTCGCCCCGCGCCGCGGCCCAAGGCTGCCCCGCGCGCCCCTCGCGGCGCCGCCGCGGGAGAGCGCCCGCCCCCCCCCATCCATTCTCTGCGGCCGCTTCTTGTTTTTGTTGTCCTTCCCCATTTCGCGCGGGGCAATTCGCGTCGCCGCAGCCCGGGTTGTTCGACCGAGCGGGCCGCCACTGCCAAACCGCGTCGGCAACGACAGCGCCGCCGACCTGTCGCGGCGGGCAGGCGGGCCGCGCGGCCCCGGCGACGGGCCGAGGCCAACGGCGCACAGGCCGCGCGTGCACGGCGGCGCTCCGCGCGAGCGGCGCGCCGCGGCCGCGCCGCGGCCGCCGGGGTTTTGGACTGCGCGGCGCGCCGCAAGCGTCTGCGCGGCTTCTCTGGAGCTCGCTCTCAGATCCTATGGGCAATGTGTGGACGGCGCCTGTGCGGAGGGCGCGGGCAACTGCAAATCGCTCGCTCCCTGAAGTCGTGGGCAACGCCCAGCGGGGCCCGCGCGTCGGGCGTTGCCTGGATGGGGTCCTGGCCCAAGGTGCCCCCCAAGATTCCGCCCAATCTTGAAGCCTCTGGGACTTTAATCGTGAGGCGGCGTTCTGGACGCCGCGGCGGCCCCCTGAGCACGGTGGATGCAAGAGACCATCTCCGTGGCTCCGGCGGCGGTGGCAGAGCCCGAGGCCCAGCATGGCCAGGCAGAGCGTCCTGACTCCTGACTGGCGCTCTGCAAACAATTTTGGAGAGGTTCGGAGCCTGTCGAACAACGAATCTCCACTCATTTGGCAGCGAGTGCAGGGGGGAAATGAAAAAGGAGAAAGCATTGTCAGATGGCGGCGGGGCTTTTCAGAAGCCCTCGCGCCTTCCGAAACCAAGTTTTTGTGTCTTCGGGTAAGGCTTCGAAAACCAATCAGAAGGCTGGCGGACGTCCACGCCTTCTGAACAGGCCCGCGCCTTCTCGCTTCCCCCCTCGCTCGCCGCCGATGATTGCTCGCATCTTCTGGAGGCCGTGAAGGCCTCCTTGGAAATCCTGGGGGGCACCTTGGGCCATAGACTATACGCTGTCAGCTCCAGGCGATGAAGTGTGCCCACCCGCCACCGAAAAAACAAAACGAACGGGGGGCCGCGCCGGCCTTCGGGGCTGCCAGCGTGAGGTTGCGGATGACAGAAGCGCCTTTTTGGCAGCGCCGCTCGTTGTCGGGAGCGGCCTAGAGGGGGGTGTCTAAGAGGGGGGGGGGTGCAAATCATGACCGGCGGCACGTGCGCGGCCCAGGGGGGGGGGGCGGGGGACGTGGTGAAACAAGAAGGGGCGCCCTGAAATCTGGGAAAAGATCATGGCCCTCGCCATGATATCCACCCCCCCCTGGTCGTCACCCCCCTCTTGTCCGCCCCCGCACGTCGGTGCGCGCACCCCGCTCGGCGAGCTCGCGCCGGCCGGGGCCCTCGGCCCTCGCCGCGCGCCCCCTTCTGGGGACCGACCTCGCGAGGAGTCGCCGTCGCAACCGGAGGCGCAGCCTGGGGCGGCATCCTGCCATCCTGCCTGCGCGAGCGCGGTGGGTCTTCCTCCGCGGGAGGGGGGGTGGATGGGACAAAACTCGTTGTTCAATAGTTTCGGGCTGCCGTTTTGGTCGTTTCTAAGTCTCCATGGGGTTCATATATATATATATATATGTGTGTATGTATATGTAAATGTATATGTATACATACATATACATATATATATATATATATATATATATATATATATATATATATATATATATATATATATATCGCTCCGACGCCACACCTTAATCGTTCCGACGCCAATCCGAAATGACGTGTATTTATTCTTTTTTTTTCTGTAATTGTTTTTACAAAAAAACTTACGCATCAGCGTCGTTGTTCCATCGGTTTCCAGGTCTGCCTCGCCACGTGCTCCCTTGTGTCCAGTATTTGTTTTGTCTGGGCATGCATCGGAGATCACCGCGCGCGAATGAGCCACCGCCAGGCAGCAGCAGCAGCAGCAGCAGCAGCAGCAGCAGTAGCAGAAACAACAAACAGCGAATAGCAGCACGCAGCAGGGAACGGCAGACACGACTAAGCAGGAAGTTGGCGGCAGCAGCGGGCAGCACGTGCACCGGACAAGCCTTTGTCTGGAGAGAACGGTGAGTCCTTATCGAGCGTTGCCCCTCAACCGCTGTCCGACCACCCGGAGTGCGCGTCAGAGTGTGAGGCATCGACGGTGACATCACGGCGGCGGCGTCGGTACGGCGGCTTCAGCGGCGGCGGTGGTATCCTTCCATGGCTCCGCCTCCCCTGGGCCGAGGGTCGATGTTGCCCGTTTCAAAGCGTTTTCAGAACGTTTCCGGTGTTCGTTTTCCTTGCGTTTCCAGCCACCAGCTCTGGTGGGTGGGACAGCGACTGGCAGCTGACGCGCAATCACAGCTCGAGCGCTCTCTCCAAAAGGCTTCTCCGTGGCACCTCCTGCCCGCTGCAGCCGCCACCTTCCTCCTGTGCTGCCTGGCGCTGCTACAATCAATCCGTAAAAGAAGCATGCACGGTAAGGATGCAAGAGCCTTGGAAGGCCACGTAAGCGATTTTCGAACGAGATTGGCCAGCGATTTTCGAACGAGGTCGCCTGGCAAAATCGCTCATCCTTACAATGCGGGTTGACTGTGCTGCCTGCTGATCCTGCCTGCTGGCACTACCTGCTGCTGATGATGCCCGTTGCGCCGTCTCATCGGCACTCTGGTGTGTGCCCAATGCCCAATGTTCGCCAACACGTGCTATTAGAACTTTCGTGTTGGCGTTTCCTTATCGTTTCCAATTTGCGCCGGTTCGTTCAATAAACATCCACATGATCGTGCGGAACCGCTTTTGTAGAATCTCCAAGTGCCGTTTTCTTACCGTGTCAAGGTCCCCGCTGTTGACTCATAAGACGTGAGAGCTGGAAACTGTAAAGAAGCACCTTGGGCGTTTCCAAGGCCCAGGAGGGAGGTTCAGGGACGGAGAAGCAGAGAGGAAACAGTCAGGGCGGCAGGCAGCATGCGGATCTAGGCGCTTGCTCCGCACCTGTGCTCAGCGGGCGGCAGGAGAAAGATGGGAGGATCAGGGTAAACGGGAGGAGGAGGAGGAGGAGGAGGAGGAGAGGAGGAGGAGGAGGACGAGGAGGGCGAGATGGAGGAGGAGAAGGACGAGGACGGGAGGGGGAGGAGGGCATGAGGAGGACAGGAGGATGGTAGGAGTAAGCGGGTGGGGGAAGAGGAGCATGAGGGTGGAGGAGGCGCACCAGTACCGACCCCGCCTGCAACACATGCCCCAACACCGTGGTCCACAGCAGGATGTGGGTGGCGCTGGGCTGTAGCGTGCAGACAACGAAAAAATCTGAGGGCAGCAGCTGCAGGAACACAGTGAACAGCACGAAAGACAGCGCGTGGAACATCACGCGCAGCTTCGGGCTGAATATGAGGGTGTTCGGATCGAGCCAAGACCTGGTGGGACGGATAGGGACATACCGATACGATGTGCCGATGTTGGAGGCGCACGTACGACACGGCCATGTAATACATAAGGCCTGCAGTGTTGTCGTGTTCGAAGCTCTACGGCCAGGAAGCGCCCGCCGCGGCACTCATACAGTAAGATGTCGGAGCGTGCGCGTCGCCTTTGCAGGCCCGACGCACACATCACAGGACTAGGTTTGAATGGCGCCACCATCCTGAGTACACTCAGACTTGACTAGAAGCAGCAGAAACAAACGTTTCTGCCACTCCGAGCACATGTCTTGGATTTCTTGGATTGGCCGCGCCGGAGGCGGCGCTGGAGGCGCCGCCTGGCGGGGCCCAGCGCGGATCCAAGACATTCGCGCGGAGCGCCAAAGTTTATGTTTATGCCGGTTTTTGTTTTTCTTCGGTTTGAGTGGCGCAACCGTCCTGAGCACACCGAGACCTGACAGCGACTCTGACCCGAGAATCCGCCGACAAGAAAAAGCGTGCGTGGTGCTGGCCTGCAGTACTCCACGTAGTCCTCCGGCGTCTGCACGTCCTCGAGCAGGGGCAGGGCGCCGTTCCACCGCGTGCGCAGGTAGTCCTGGAAGCGCGGCGCGTCCATCATCTCGAGGCACTCGGCGGCCTCGTGCAGGGGTCGACCTCAACAGTGCTTTTCGTGTTCGTGTTGTTTTCGTTTTCCCTCGCTCTGCCTTCAATCCGCCTCTGCTGCAAAACGAAGTCGAAACGAAAACGGCCCACAAAATCGCCCAAACACCGTTTAGGTCGACCCCTGGCCGCCTCGTGGAAGGCCAGCGACATGAAGGTCTGGCGCTTCGCGGTGTTCTCGAAGATCCTGTCGAAGGCGTCCTGCGGCAGGAGCTCGAAGATCTGGACCGCGGCCCGCTTCAGGCGCGCGTGCTCGCCGTGCCAGATGTCCTGGGCCAGGCTGCTCCGCTTGCACAGCTTGCTGACGGCCGCCGTGAGCCGGAGGCAGCTGAACAGCGGGTTGGTGTGGTACCGGATGAAGCGCTGCAGCTGCTCCTCGGGGCGGCGGCCCCGCCGGGAGAGCGGGAACGGGCAGGAAAAGGGAGGCGTGGCGGCAGGCGGAGGCGAGGGGGGAGAGGATCGGCAGAAGCAGGGGCAGAATGGGGGGGGAGGGGGCAGAGGGCGGAACTCTGATAGCACCACGTTGGCAAACCCCGCCGCCGTGCTCCGAGGCACGACATGGAGGAGTGTCCTCAGGTCTGCGTGGGGCTCCCTGGCCATCGCTCGGGCGTCCATTCCATGTTTTTTTTCGGTTTCGTGTGTGGCTTTTTCGCCAAATGATCAAGGATGCTCCTCGATGTCCTTCCTCGCCGAGGAAAAAACGCACACGTCCGAGCGATGCCAAGCGAAATGGAGTGTCCGCGGGTCTGCGTGGGGCTCCCTGTCATCACACCGCGAGCTATGTTCGAGAAAAGGCCCACAGCCCAGAGCACCGGGCGCTCTTGGGCGCTCCCGCGCGCGCGCGCTGCTCAACAGGCTAAGGGCGCGCTGTTCCGGACATGCGCGTCCAGCATGGCACGAGTCGGCCCAGAGCAGGGCTGGACCTAAACGTTGCTTTTCGTTGTGATGTTCCTATTCTCCTGAACCCTCCTGAGGAAAAAAAAAAAAAAAAAAAACGAACAACATATTACCGCCGAAGTCCAGCAGAACAGCGTTTGGGCCCAGCCCTCGCTCAGAAGCCCGTCCCGAGGGCCCTTCTGGGCGCCGCCTGGACCAGTCTTGGACGCCCGAGATGGGGGCTCACCGAAGAATGGCCCCAAGGCATCCACAGAGTCCCCGAGGTGCCCCCCAGAGGCTCCAAGAAGGCCCACCAGGGCCTCAAGGCCCCAAGAGGCCCAGAGAGGAGTTCCGAGACGCATCAAAACACATCAAACACCACATCGAAAAGGCTTCCGAGAGGCCTCCCAGGAGATGCTCATAGATATCCGAGGCCTCGGACCGACAACCCAGGCACGATGGCGTTATGGGCCGAAGGCCACTAGAGAACACAACATCAAGGCAGGTAGTGCAACCATCAATAGTAGTGATTTCACTGGGACCATGTGTGTACACATATATATATATATATAGATACATATGTATAGATATATCGATCGAGCCGTATATATGTATATGCGAAGTTCGGCGAGCTTGGGTGAGGAAAACAACGATAGGAAGGGGGATAGAGTGAGAGAAAGAGGTAAAAAGAGAGAGAGAGAGAGAGAGAGAGCGCGCGGGAGAGAGAGAGAGAGAGAGAAAAGGCGAACAAGAGAGAGAGAGAGAGAGAACAACGACGGAGCAGATAGGGAAGAATATGAAGGACGCATAGAGCAGGAGAAGCGGACATAAAGTGGCAGAGAGGGCTCCCTTGCCGCCAGGCGCTGCCAGGCACCACTCCGAAGAGGTGGGGAGGCAGAGAGATGAAGCACGGAGGCTGACAGCGCCACGAGGACGAGAAATCGAAGGAGCAGGAGGAAGCTCGCAGGGGGACGTGCCCGAACGGGAGGTGTACGAGGACGGTGCGCATGCACCACCCCATGCCTGGACGCCCTTCGGGCCCCGCCCCTGCGCGGGACCGTGCCATCAGTTTCTTGCTCTGGGGGCCGACAAGACGAAGCACAGTGCCCATTCCTGGGTCGAGGATCGACGACGCCTCACACATGAGCGACGACGCAAACCGGGCCGCACGCGAGATGGCTTAGCGACCGCGGCTTACGCGGGTCGCCGTCGTGGCACGCCACACTGGAGACATAGGGCCGCATGGGCGATGCGTCGGGGATGTGGCGCGATCCTCCGACCCTATCTAAGGAGGCCTAGATTCTGCGCGTCTCTCGAGTGCCGTCCGCAGAAAGAAGGAATCGAACAGGGCAAAACTGTTCAGTAGTCGCCCAGGTGTGCGTAGTACTCGGCAATGATGGGTGTCGACTTGTGCTATCCTCGCTCTCTTATGGGTGCGATGGCAAGCAACATCGAACCACGTGACCATGTCACCCCCCGGTTCTCGGTTGAACCCGTGTCCTTTTACCCGCACCTGAACGGTTGCTTTCGGTGTCTCGTCTTCTCAGGGCATTGGGGAGGTGCAGGTCATCAGTGTGGCGTCTCACGGTATCACTTCTGCCATGCGCCTCGATCAACGTTCCAAGAGATACCCACGAAGATCACAGCGAACGGGCCCCGGAAGCGCCCCCTGCACCCCTGATGGCCCTCGGGACCGCCAGCGGGCCTCCGCATGCCGTCCAGAAGACCGACTCCAGGAGGCCCAGAAGAGGTTCCCAAGAGGCCCCCAAGAGACCCCAAGAGGTCCCCACGATCCCCCAAGAGGCCCCCCCAGAAATCTCCAAGCTGCTTCTGGTCAACGACCGACACCCAGTGGCGGGATGCGCCACTGGCCACTGCATCCGCCGCCCCCTGTGATCTGTCCACAGTGGTTGCCTGGCGTGCCGAGGTTTTGGCGTGTTCAAAACATCTCCAGCATGTCCAGTGGGGCCTCGGCACACGCAACCAGCAATACGAAAAGACCGGTGCAAAGGTGTTTCATCCGCCTCCAAGATTGCCAAAGGCGGCTCAAGACGGCCCCATGGACGGCCCGAGGCGACTCCAAACGGCCGAGATGTGATCCCGATCTGGGAAGACGGCTCTAAGACGATCTGGGATGACCTGAAGACGACCCAAGACTCTCTCCAGGACCAGGGGGACGTAAGACCTGGGTACAGGGGACTCGAAAATCCCCGACGAGGTCGTCAAAAAATGACGAGGCCGAGCCTGCATTTTGACGAGGCCTCCCGCTGCAGACATCCCACGAAACTCCTCCTCGTCAAAATCCGAGGCGCGGTCGTCAAAAGACGATGGCGAACCCGAGTCCTGGCAAACCCGGGTCTTACGCTCCCCCGACAGGAGGCCAACATCATTGCTTGCCACTGGTTCGTTCCATCGACGTCGCACGATCGCCTCCTGGGGGCCTCGACGTCCGAAGGCGGGTCCCCGGACGCCTCCGAGCTGGCCCCACGACGGGCCCAGGACCTTAAAGGCATCCTCCTCCTCCTCCCTCCTCCTCCTCCTCCTCCTCCTCCTCCTCCTCCTCCTCCTCCCCCTCCCCTCCCCCTCCCCCTCCCCCTCCTCCTCCTCCTCCTCCTCCTCCTCCTCCTCCTCCTCCTCCTCCTCCTCCTCCTCCTCCTCAAGACGCCTCCTGTTCCACCAATTTCCCCGCCCCCTCACTCGCATCACCACGTCTTCCTCCCACGCAAGTGTTCCCCCCCACAGGTGTTCAGAACGGCTGCAGGAGCACGCAGCCCAATAGCACTGCAGGACACCGGCCCAACGTTTAGAGAGGCTGGAGGCGTAGGAGAAGCGTACAACGTCCGTTTCGACTGCAATGGCATTTCATTCATCTCTCTCTCTCTCTCTCGCGCTCGCTGTCTCATTCTCTCCCTCGCTGCGGGACCTCCCTCATTACTACGCATCACCACCCGTACTCAAGATGGAACGCTAGTCTTTGCACGTTGACAGTAAAGCGATACTGTGTCTTTGCGCTCTGCGCATTTTAAGGCATCGCGCTGAGGGAAGTATAGCTGGGCACCAGAGGCAGCAGTACACGAGTGACTGGAAGCAATCTGCGTCGAAGGCCAGCGGATCCGGAGGTCGACCTTGCGATGGCATGGCCCTCCCGAGATGACCTTGATCACAGAGGCAGGACGACGAGCCGCGCGACGCTCCTGGAGGCGGTCGAAGTGGCTCATCATCTGCTTGGTGTCCAGATCCAGCAGCATTGCTGCGGGGGCCGTTACAGTCAACGCGCAAGCGAGAATAGACGACAAGGATGCACGGGCCTTGGACGGCCACGCCGACACGCTTCGAGCGGGGCGCGGCCAGCGAAAGTGGCCCAAGATGGGCCGAACGGGAGAAATGCGAAAGAACCTTGGAACATCGCTCATCCTTACTGCGCATCCGTGTTGACTGCACAGGAAGGATGGCAAGGGCGGGCGTACACAGGGGCCCATCAAGCACGGCGGTGGGCTGGCTGGAAGTGCGCGTGGGGACCAAGCGGGGGCCGGGAGCCAGGATCGGCCCAACCCACCATGCACAATCTCCTTCTCCATCCTGCCGCCCCGCTCTCTCGCACTATCCCCCGAAAAGGCCTGGAAACTTGTTAAATTGAGAGCAATGCCAGCCGTAAATCATGAAGGCGAGAGAACGGGGAGACGAACGGAAGGCATCGCAATCGTGCGAGCGCAAAGGGATCTCGGATCCATGGACAGGTCGCTCGAGAACTCGACGAACGCCAACCCGGGCGAGGATCCAGGCGACGCGAAAGAAACGCCAGGCTAGCAGAAGCCGAAACAAGTACCAAAGAGAGACACTGGCCCCGATCCTTCAAATCAGAGCACAAGACAGTGGGGCTCCCCCGCCATGCCTCTGGCACGAAAGTGGGCGCGATCTGGCCTACAGCCGCTGCTGCTGTGAGAGAAAAATGAGCCCGCGTTGACACTGCATGGCTGGAGGCGGTTCCTTCAAGGCCGCGCACCCTCCGATGCTGGACGCGGCCGATGCCTGCCGACTGCTCCCAACGCCTTTCGCGCGATGCCCCCAGACGGCCCCAACAGGTCCTAAATGGGCCTCGAAGACGGCCCAAGCGGCTTCCAAGAGGTCCTCCAGGAAGGCTCGAAGATGATGCACGCATTGGTGGCCCACATGTTTTGACAAATGTTGGCATGTCCTGTTTCTCGGCCTTCCGACGGCTCAAGACGTCCCGGGAGGCCCCCAAGATCGCCCATGATGCGTATAAGATAGCCCAATGGCTGCCCAAGAGGCCCCCAACAGAGGCCCCAACACACGGCCCCGCGAGGGCCCCAAGACGGCCCAAGAGACCTCCAAGACGCCCAAAATGACCTCCAACACGGCCCTGAAGCGCCCCAAGAAGTCCCCAACTCGGCCCAAAGAGACCCCAAGTGTAGCGCGGCGTCCGACAATGTAAACGTAACAGGGACGCCCTCACACGGCCAGAGAGCCGCCCCAAAAAACCTCCAAAGGCCCCCTAAGAGGCCCCCGGGAAACTCCCCCAGGAAGGCGCAAGAGTGCCCCCAAAGGTTCCCAAAAGGGCATCCTTCTTCTCCTCGTGTTTCCCCCCCCTACGTGTAGGTCGGACATGTCCCGCTACAGGCGGCTTTTGGATGAACAACTAAACATATTCCAAAATACTAGCATCCCCATACTATGTTTTACACTCATATTGGATATTCCCCCCTGTAGAGGGACATGCTCGACTTAACCCTACGTGCTCCCCGAAGATATTCCAGAACGGCTGGTGGGTCACCTGGCCCGATAGCTCGGCCGCGCTCTGCCCGCAGTGCTCGGCCACATACCTTTACGCGCTTCCAGAGAGGCAGGGGGCGGCTGTGAATCGCCGCAGCTGTCTTCGCTGAAGATGACACTGAGTCCTGGCTTTTCTCAAGGCACTCCAGATCCCTATAAAAACGCCCCCATGGGTCCACTTGTTGAAGGCGTCGTGTAGGGGGGGGAGCGGGTCATTTTTTTAAAGGCGTCTTCTCGAAGCCGACGTTCAGGGGGGTCCGGTTTATCAAAGCGCCTTTTGCGCATGCATCTCACACCACCCTTGCGCACCATGGCCTTCTGAACCAAAGTCAACACTTCTGGAATCATCGTCGGCCCAGCTCTGTGCGCCCCTGGACTCCCTTGCGGCCTTCTGGATAGCACTGGATGGCCCGACATGGCATCCCACATGCCCCCGAAAAGCCCCAAGTCCGCTCCAAGACGGCTCCAAGTGGTCACTGACTGAGCCTCCCAAGGATACCCCTGGGAGGACACCGTGCTTTAACAAACTCAGATTGATCAATGATGCATGCCTTCTCGTCATTCCGGTCACGCTAGTCTTTTGAAGCCCCAGCGTGGGTTAAGAATCGCCCAGGAAAGCCCCTAAAGAGCCCACAAGCGGCCGCAAGACAGCCCTGACGACCTCCGCGAGCGCCCCAAAAACGCCTCAAGAGGGCCAGGAGACTCTAGGTCTTCTGGGCGTCAAAAAAATTGCAAGGCGAGGACACCCAGAATGCGCAAGGAGGGCTGAAGAGGGCCCCAAGAGGGCCGAATATTGCCACTTGGGAGTGAATCGGAAGTTCGGTCGGACTTTGTGTATTTTCTTGGGGTGCGTTCTGGTCAAAACTTCGGGGCAAATCCAGCGGCGGCGTCAAACGTACGTGCGGCTGGCGGCAACTTCGCCAGCTGGACTGACTGGGATGAGGCAAGAGCTGCGTAATGAACAGCAACTCGTGCGGCTGGCAGGGGTGGCCGTGCAGGCCCAACTGCCCCCAGGGTCACTTCCGCCGCGCGACGCGACAAGCCAGCAAACAGACAACGGCGCGCAGCGCTGTCCGGGGGCGCGACGCACGCGAGAGGGGCGCTTGTTCTTCGCGGCGCAGGGGATATCGAAACGGATCAGCTCGCCCGCGATCTTCGCCAGTGCGGGGTAACCGGCTGCTGGGCCGGCGCTCCCGCTCGTGCATCCACGCCCAGCGGTGCGCAGGCGCAGACCGCGATATTGCGCGCGCGGCCAGAGCGCTGGCGGGGCAGGGGTTCGAGACTCATCAGGATCTCGAGGGGTCTCAACTGCAAAACGTCGCGGAGCTGCAACCCCTGCCGTCACCCCTGCAAGCGCATCACGCTCGCATGTGCGGCGCGGGAACCCTGGCCGCGAGCAACGGGATGCTAGGAGTTGATCTCCAGCGCGCGTGCCGACTCCAGCACCTGCGCCCGCATGGGTACGAGCGCGTCCTCGTGCGCAGTCGCCACCAGTGCCCGTTGGAAAGCGTCGGAACGCGCAGGGGGCCCGGAGCTTCCTGCCATCGCAGAAGGAGCAGAACGATTGGGCTGATCGCGCCCACTTGGACGCACAATGTCGTCGACCTGGCAATCTTGGACATGCGGTGTGCGCTGCTGGCTCGGTTTCGCCACGGAAGTGCTCGGGCGTGAACGGGCGTTCCCGTTGCCGCCCACTCAGGCGCGGCCCCCCTGCGCGGCCCCTCTGCGCGGCCCGCGGGGCCTTTGCGCGGCCCCCTGCGGCGCCCGCGGGCCCGCGCGGCCGCCCGCCCACGCGCGCCCCCCCTGCGCGTCGGCGCCGCGCGCCCGCGGCGATCTTCTGAGCAGGTCAGGCGCCTTCTCGTGCACGGGCACGTTCCCGAATTACTGCAGGCACGCGCCAGCCGCGTGTGAGGTGATGCGTCCAGACACGAGCGCACGTTGCAACCAACGACTGCTCAGGTGTCGAGTGCCAGAGCATGCTCGCGCGAGTCCGCGCGGCGCGCGCCCAGGAAGGCCGAGGCAGTCGTCGTGCGGCGCGGCGGGCACGCGCCGCGCGTGCCGCGCTTCGTTCGCGACGAAATGACAGCGCAATTTCTGCGCCTGCCTGCGCGCCGCGAGGCAGAGAAGGCGAGACCGCCGCGCGGCGGTCCCAGGATGCCCAAGTCGCCAGAATCAACTGGTGCTCTAGCATACACCCTGCGAAATGCTTAAGAAATCATGGGTTAAGAAATTCATAGTCTCAGAATTTGAATAAAAACTCCAAATTTCTACCACATTTGTAGGATTTGCACTGAAACATTAAGAATAATCGAGACTCTGGCCGAAAATTTGAGTTTTCTTAAGCATCGCCTAAGGTGTAGCCTTCGCACGACCGCCTGTTCGGTCCTCCGAGCGTCCAGGGCGGCCCAGAAGAAGCGCCAAGCCACGCCGCAGAGACGGGCCAACAGACCCCAAGATGGACCCCAAGGAGGCCCTCCGGCGGCCCCAAGAGGGGCCCCATGGATGGGAGCACGAACTGACATCTGAGCCCTCCTCGCCCAGCGCCCGCGCAGGCGGCACCCGCCATGTTCCTGATAATGGCACGCGCGCTCCTGGTTTTGGGCGCCCGAGTTGTCCGGGGCAACTCGGGCCCGGGATAACTCGGGCTTGGATTCCCGAGAAACGAGCCCGTGATAGCCCTGACCCGAGTTACCCGATGATTTGGGGCTCTGGACGCCCGAGTTATGCGGGGTAACCCGGGCCCGGGGCAACTCGGGCTCGGAATCCCGAAAAGCGAACCCGAGTTAGCCCTGGCCCGAGTTACCCCTGATGGTTCGGGGCTCTGATGGTTCGTCCACCATCGGAATGCCTACGCACCTGGCGACGCGGCACCGCGCTGTTGCGCGACAGAACAACACGCCGCGCCGCTTCGCAGCGCGCCCGCGCGAGGGCGCCCGCCGCGCGGGGCGGCCGCGCCAGGCGGAGCCGCAGGCTGACGAGGCTCCGCTACTGGCTGCCCAGGCGTAAGAACAGGCCGACTGCGTCGCTGCTTCACCAACGTCGATGGCGCCGCGCGCGCGCCGCGTCGCGCGCAGGAGACGCGCTGCCGCCACTGCTGCGCGATGCAACTATCGGCGCTGAGCCCTTTGCGCAGTTCCCAGGATCGGATGCCAAGCGGACCCTGCGGTCCCTGTTGTCCAGTTTAGGGGTGACCAGCAGTTCTCCTCTTCGGCATGCCCGACATACAAAGGCCGCGACGCGCGATCTTCAAAGCGGCGCGTCGCACCCGCTCATTCGCCGGCGCTGCGGAGTCAGAGGGGCCGCCGACGACATCGGTCGAGTGGGCGCGCCGATTGCCGGGCGAAGAGGCCGGGCGTCGGACGCCTGCCTCGCCAAGGCCGACCGCGGCCGGGCCAAGCGCGAGCGAAGGAAGGCCGCGCGCAAAGCCACGTCCGACAGCTCGGACAGCTTCCGCAGCAGCTCAAGCATATCGAGTATAAAGGGAAATTAGGACACACAAATAAATACACACAAATAAAAATAGTCCCCATATTTTCTCATATTTTCTGGGTTTTTGTCTTCCCCCCCAATTCCCATATTTTCCCATATTTTCCTGGGAATCTGTGTGTTTTTTTCCCTCCTGAGAGTAGTAGCGACCGTTCATCAGGTGCCCGAGCGCCGCGCACTGCGCGCGCAGCGGGCAGGCGGCGCCCGTCGCCGGTCGCATCATTCCAGTGGGTCGCGCTGCGACTAGCAGCGAGGCCGCCCAGGGCACCCGCGCCCGCGCCGCAGGGCGCGGCGCGCGCGCCGCGCCGCGCGGCGGGGCCCGCGCGCGCGGGCCTCGTCGCGCATCCCCAACGCTGCGGCTGCCAGCGCAAGCCAGCCAAGAGGGCGAGCGGGGCGCTCGAGTCCTAGCGGTGTGGAGCGAGCTGCTCGCTCCAGGTCTCCTCGCGCAGGCGGGCGGTGTCCGCGAACGCGACGGATGCAATGTCGCAGCGCTCAAATGCTTCGGGGGGGCCCTTGTCAAACGCCCCCGACACGCGCAGGCTGGCGGCGTCCGCGGACGCGACGGACGAAGTGTCGCAGCGCTCCACTGCTTCGGGGGGCCCTTCGTCGAACGCCTCCGACACGCGCGGCGGGCGCCCTCGCGCGATGGCTGCGATGGCAGGAGGGTCCCGCTCTGCCAGGTCAAATCAAGGGGCCCAAGGACACACAAAGAAATACACACAGATTCAATGATTCCCCATATGTTTCCATGTTTTCTGGGTTTTCGCCTTCCCCCCCCTTCCCACATTTTCCTATATTTTCCGGGCAGTCGACGATTAAATGTGCCTGTGTTGTTTTCCCTCCTGATCAAAGCCGCAACTCAATGGCCAAGGCGATCCGAGTGTGCGGCGCACGCGCTTCCCGCGAACAGCCGGGCAGCTCGACGAGGGCCCGACATGACAATCAAGATCCCCGTCTCCACACGGAGCGCCGCGCAAGGTCATTGCGTTTCTCCTTCGAGACGTCGCGGCGTCTCTCCGCGTACGCACTGCCCCCGGAACTTGGCACACTCACTGTCGCAGTGTCGGCAGGATGACGCACGAGAAAAGACACCAAGGGGCGGGCAAGGAAGAGGCGGCGATGCCCACGGTGATCGGTTGCTAACCCGCGCCCGGCACCCGACCAACTCTGAAACATCCAACGGAAAACCTGACATCGTGCAACACACAGAACCACAATGTTTAATGTTCGCACTGGGGTCGCGCCGGCCTGACACCGCACACGCTCACCGGCCCCTAGGGCAGGCGCCCCCAGAGTCGAATCGACAAGCCTGACCGGCGATCGAAACGAGTCGGATCGGCGGAAATCGGCAGCCGAGTCGGGAGAAGCCGAATCGGCGGACATCGGCAGGCTGGTGTGCCTCCAATAAGAAATCGGAGCCCAAATCGGAATCCGAAGTCGAATCGAATCGGAATCGGAAGCCATCGAAATCGAATCGAATCGAACCGGAGGAACCGAAACGAGCCCTGCCAGGGGCGCGCGGCGGACGCAGGACCGCGAGCGGTCACCGCGCCGCTGCACCGCTCGCGCGCGCCGCGGCGCACCGCAGGCGATGCGCACCGATCCGCGCCCCGCCCCACCCCCGCGCGCAGCAATCACCCACGGCGGCGCTGCGCAGGCAGGCGCTCGGGAGTTGACCCGCCCGAGCCCACCCCGTTGCTCGCCCGATGCTGGGTCGCGCTGCTACTATAGGAGGCCACGTGCGAACGCTACCCCTACCCCCCCACGATTTCTAAGGGGGAGGGTGGGGTTCACTTCGCTCGGGAGGTCCCGAACGAAGTGATCCCCACCCTCCCCCTCAGAAATCGTGGGGGGCAGGGGTAGGGTTCGCATGTGGCCCCCCAGACTAGCACCGAGGCCGCCCAGGGCGCCCGCGCCCTCTCGGCGGCGCCCGCGCCGCGCGGCGTGGCGCAGGCTCTGGCGCACACCCCCAACGCTGCGGCTGGTAGTGCAACCCATAGGGGGAAAACAAACCGACCTCGCTTTGACCACCCTCGCTTCCAAGAGATACCAAACGATGCCAAATTGCAGCCTGCGTGGTACGGCTTGGTTTTGCCTGGAAGCGAAAGCGGGGTAGGTAATTCACGCTCTGAAGACCCAGCCACGGTGTAGCGGGGTGCTCAGAACATCTGCTCTGACCCGAATTGCGAGTCGCATCCAGCGGCGGAGGCGAGGGAGGCCGAAACATGATACAGCGAGGGAATGCTGGCGATATGGGTACCTTTCCTCCTCCGAGTTTCGATCACCACAGAGGAGGGGCCGCGCCGCGTCACCGCCGCAGCTTTGCCGGACAGCCGTGGGCCTGTCACGGGTCGGAGGCTCCAGCGCGGCCCGTGGAGGCCCCCAGGCCTTCGCCTCCAGAGGCCGCTGACAGCCAACGTGGCTTAGCTGGCCGCGGAAAAATGGCAGGGCCGTTGTTTCCTGCCGTGTCGGGCAAGCTGCCCCTGCCAGCCAAACGTTGCTCCAGGATTGGATCTGGAACAGGAGCCCGCACGCAAAAGCGGCGACCAAGACGGGGCAAAACACGGCGCCGGAGCCGGCAACCAAGGGGAAAAGCGGAAACAGCAAAGACCTGGCCCTGGAGTTGCCAGGGCCAGCTGAGGCACAAGATACCTTGTCCTTGCAGCGGGGGGCCGACCACAAGAAACCTTGCACAAGAGGCCCAACCCGGAAGCCCCAGGACGTCCGTCGGTGTCTGGTGTGGCAGCGTCACGCATCCCATGGCAGGAACCATCGAAGCCCCCAAGAAGCCCAGAGCACCCTGGAGGCAAGCAGGGTGTTTCTTGGCATGGGCCTCCCCTGTGCAGCGTCTCGACTTTTTTACGACGACATGGGAGCGGTTACGGATGAAAATGGTTTCAAAGGTGGGGAGTATCCACGTGTGGCGGGTGCGACCGCACCAGCAACACCGAAGCCCTGACTGGTACCGCCGTACCCGCGAAAAGATTAGTACATTCCTTGCTCGTCGCTGCAGTGTCCAACTGCCTCTTGCCTGCTGAGTAGCATGGCCTGTCGCTACAACGGTGCAGCTCGCTTGATGCGGGCTGGCATGCGCTGTGCGTTGGAAGAACCTGAGGGCGGCGTCTCGACTGTGCACGGTTTCCATCCCGCGTCGTGGCCCCTCGCCCTGCGGGTTCAGCGGCAAGGCCCAGCGGGCCACCGGGCGGTTGGCCCGCCGCCGAGGTGCCGGCACGGCAGGGGTCCGCGGGCGCCGCGGGGGTGCTGCCAACAGGTCGCCAGCACAATCTCAGGGAGCCCACAAAGGACGCACGCGCCCAGCTATGCACATGAGCGCGGCCCCTCGATCCGCGAGGCTGGCCGCGTCATACGAACATCTGCGCAATGGGTACTCTCGGAGCCAGCGTGGCTTCACGTGCGTGTGCGCCCTCCTTTCGCTCCGGATGATAATCTGCCAGTTGTTTGGCTCCGTGGCACAGGACCGACATCACAATTGCGACTCGGTGTCGAATCGGCCCCCGTTCCAATCTGCCCTCTCACTGTTTCCTGCAACTGATGCAGCCCAAAGGGGGGTCCAGGTCAAAGGGGGTGGTGCTTTTGGAGTTTGGATCTGATTTGCTTCAACGACGCATTCGCATGATGTGACTGTCAGCAATAATTCGCACCACGAATTCTTATTGCTGGGGTCTTGAATCTTCGTGCGAATTTGAGGTGCCAAGTCCCGCCAATTCGCTGCGATCGGGCTTTCGATTCCGCCATCGGAATCGGCACACGCTTTTAGCCACGTCCCCTGGTCGCAGGCTCGGTAAGTAGGCGATCAAAACATCTGAACACTCACGCCGCAATCGGCCAGCGCGGCACAGCAACGCAACCCGCCAGGTGCAATCCATTGCAATGCATTTGGGCTGCCGCAGTATATTTGAATCGTGCAACATGTTCAGGGATGCAAGCGTAATGCTCAATTGTTGCGCGCAAAAGCGATCGCCGCCATAAAATGCAATGAAATGTCCTGGCGCCGTGCATTTGCAATCCAATTTGACGACCTACTAGGCCACCCCAACCCAACCCGAAGACCCGAATTTCGGGTGGGGGGGACGGGTTCTATGTGCGTTTTTTTCACTGGAAATGGAAGGCAAATTGAGGCCTTCGAGTTGTGTTGGGGTGGTTTGCCGGATGGTGACAGTTGGCCGTGTGCCATACATTTGAAGTGCGTCATCCGCGCGCGATGCCTGCCACACGGAGCACTCCAAGCCGAGCGCGCCAACGCTCGACGAGACTACACTAGGGGCCCGACCACAAGAAACCTTCCACAAGAAGCCCAACCCGGAGACCCCAGGACGTCCATTGATTTTTGTTATGGGCACGTCGCGCTTTCCACGGCAAAACAATCGAAACCCACGAAACCGAGAGCACCCTGGATCCGGAGGCAAGCAGGGTGTTTCTTGGCATGGGTCTGAACTGTAATGTTGCCGAGGGGCCGCCGAAGTCTTCCACCACGCTTCGAAGGGCGCCCATCCGCCGTCTGCCGCAGCTCTTTATTCGTGCCCCAGGGACGTTTGCAGAGGCACGCGCTGCAACGAACGGCTGGGAAGGGCGAAATGACCCGGGGCCGTCAAATATGTGAGCGTTTCCCTGTTCGGCGTTTCAACATTCGGCGGAAGGGGGGAGGAGGGAGGGGGGGTCCGGCCCTGGACCTCTGCTTACCACGACTGTTAACAACAGGTCGTGTATTATGGGGGAGCCTCCACCTGGTCGAAACAGGAACCAAAAACAGCCAAGATCCACTGCATGGGGGGGGCGGGAGGAGGGGGTGCGAAGCCCGCGCCAACCAGCAAAACAAGGAATAAGAAACTGTCACAAATACGTCAGTGCCACCGAACTGTTTGCTACCAAGCCCTGCACGCCCTGTTGGGTTACGCAGATGACACCGCGGGGCCTATGAGGAACTGCAGCGCCTCCTCCTCCTGGCTGAACGCTATGAAGAGCCTCGCGGAAAATGGAAGGAGCGCCCCCCCTTCCTCTCGGGGATCTGCAGTACGCCTTCGTCCCATCATTTCTTTTCTTCACTGCACCTCCTCTTGTCCTCCCTGAGATTGAGGAGAGAGGATGGGGGAGGAAGAAAACGACGAGGGGAGGGAGACATTGAGGAACAGAAGGGATGAGGTAGGAGGACGACCACACCGCTGCCTCGGCATATTCAAGACCTTCCTCGACGTGACCCCCCCCCTTCCTCCTCCCTTCTGCTGGAGTGTGGCGACGACGACGACAGAGCAGCAGAGGCGGAGCAGGAGGCCAAGTTTGAACGATCTGCGCAGCACGGCGTGCAAAGGAAAAGACGCGAACAATAACATAAAGGGCAGGCACAGGATCCGCCACCCTTATTTGATCGAACTTCTCAGGTCATGGTAATGGTAACGGTACCGGATTTAGAACATCCGTCTCTGAATGTAGTAAACCGGCTGCTGCGTTTACTAAACGATGCTGTGTCTTAGTCTGTTTACACGGCGCAACTGGTAAATCCGTTTCTCGGTTTCGTACATCATTAATTGTTCAATTCTTTGTTTTTTAACGCACGCTCATTCACGGCCATGACCTATGTTAGCCGGCGATTGTTGGGGGAGCTAAACAAACATCACCATTGGCCAGCCGCGGGGGAACCCATCGTGGTGCCCTCCAGGAGGACCTCTTGGAGGCCACTGGTGCCGTCGTGGAGGCCTCTTGGGGGCCTCTAGGAGCCATAATTGGGCCGTCTCGGTATCTTCGCGAGCAGACTCGGAGGTATCTGGGGTCCGGCACAGGATCCGCCACCCGTGTTAGGGGAGCAGAACAAACATCACCATTGGCCAGCGGCGGGGGGACCCATCGGCGTGCTGCCGCGGGAGAAAAAAACAGCAGCAACGAGGGGGCAACACACGCTGACGGCCTTCCAACGGCAGCGAGTCATATGAATACTTGCTGCGGGCAGGATTGAAGGGACCCTGGGACACACCAATAAAAACGCACAAACCCCAGGACTCCCCATATCTTCTCATATTTTTCGGATGTTCGTCTTCCCCCCCCCGCTTCCTATATTTTCCCAGATGCTCTAGGGAATCGTCGATGAATTGTGTCTGCGTGTTTTTGTCCCTCCTGAAAGATGTGTCGGAGATCGGGGTGGGAGATCGAAGTGGAACGAAGACCCTTCCACCGAAGTCGGTTTCGGCTTCGAGTTCGTGTTGTGCGTGCGGGCATGGCGAAGCTGCTTGGAGCGGCGTGAGGAATGAAGCCTCCTCTGGTCAGGGCACGGCGAAGGCAGAACTCCACCCCCCCCAACCGCGTGGCGGGCGGTGGCCGCGGGGTGTCCCGCCGTGGTGTCCCGCCGTGGTGTCCCGATGGTGTCCCGTGGTGTGCCTTGGTGTCCCGTGGTGGCCCGTCGTTGGCCCGTCGGTGTCCCGTCGGTGTCTCGTGGTGGGGACGACTGTGAGATCGATAGTGAGACCGATAGTGAGCTCAGTCATTAGACCGATAGTGTGATCGACAGTGACATCGACAGTAAGGCCGGTAGTAAGATCGATAGTGACATCGATAGTGAGATCGATGGTGCAACCATACTGATAATGAGACCGATAGTGAAAGGGGTTGTGAGATCGATAGAGTGAGCTCGACACTGAGATAGATAGTCATGTCCAGTCGGTGTCCCGTCGGCGTCCAGTAGTGAGATTGATATTGAGATCGATAGTGAGATTGATAGTGGGAACGATAGTGATAACCATAGTGAGATCGAGAGTGAGATCGATCGACAAATCTAAAGTGATATCGACAGTGAGATCGATAGGAATCGATCGAATAGTCGATGGTAGCGAGATCGATAGTCAGATCGATAGTGATATCGATAGTGAGATCGATGTGGGTCCCATAGTGAGATCGATACGGAGGTCGATAGGGAGATCGATAGTGAGATCGATAGAAAGATCGATTGAAGGCGATGTAGTTTCTTCCCCCTGAACCTCCTTCTCACCCGAAGGGTGGTCGTGTTGACATCCATATCCCACTGCGTCTTGGAGTTTCGGATTTTCTTCCTCAGGAATCAAAGACGCAGTGGATATGCATATACATCTGGCCTCGTGAGACTCGAGTGTTCCCTTTTGGCGCCACTTCCTAGAGAGTCCAAGACGCAGCGGATCGGATGTGAATGGGGGTGCGATCGCAGTAAAACGGAGAACACCCACACCGGGAAACCGGTTTCTGTTTCGTGTTCGTGTCACGCGGGACAGCGAGGAGAAGCTGCGTGGGCGGGCGCGAGGAATGAACCCTCCTCTGGCTAGGGCGCCGCTGGGCCAAGCGACCGCCCCGCCCCCCGATGTCTGGCGGTGGCACGGGGTGGCCCGCGGGGGTTGTGAGATCGATAGTGTGACCAAAAGTGAGATCGACAGTGAGAACGACAGTGAGACCGATAAGAAGATCGATAGTGAGATCAATAGCGAGATGGGTAGAAAGATTGAGAGTGCGATCGATAGGGAGATCGATGGTGCGATCGATAGTGAGATCGAGAGTGAGATCGAGAGTGAGATCGATTGAGTGAATCGCTGCTTCCCCCCCCCGAACCTCCTCATCATCCGACGACACGTCCTAGAGGCATGGGCCGTGGATACGAACGCTGCCCGCGCCGGCTCTTCCCCTCCAGGAACCGGCGAGCCATGAATCGAGTCGATGAGTCGGAACGGCCACCGTATTTCGGGGGCGGCCAAGGAGGGGGTGTCCAAGAGGGGGGGTGCAAATCATGGCCGGCGGCATGTGCGCGGCCCAAGGGGGGGGGGGGGCCAGGGACGTAATGAAACAAGAAGAGGCGCCATGAAATCTGAGGAAAAATCATGGCCCGCGCCAGGAAATCCACACCCCCTAGTCACCACCCCCCTCTTGGCCGCCCCCGAGCATTGGATCATCGGCGGAAAGCGGCAGCCAGGTCGGGCGACGCCGAATCGGCAGAACTCGGCAGGCCAGCAGGGCCTCCACGGGACAGCGGCATCCACATCAGAGTCCCGCGCCAGATCCTCCTCCTCCTCCTCCTCTTCTTCCTCCTCTTCCTCCTCCTCCTCCTCCTCCTCGTAGTCAGAGGTGGCGCCCGCTGCCAGAGGGCGCCGCGCCGACGCTCTCGCTGAGGCCTCGACCACCCGCTCGTGTGCAATATATATATATATATATATATATATATATATATATATCGCGCGAGGACGTGCAGCGGCGCGAACCAAGACGTCCTGGCGTCGTCTCGCAAACATCGAGACCGAGGCCTTTCCTAGTGCTCGCCCTCTGGGAACCCCTGCTGGGCCTCGGGACCTTTGGAAAGCGGCTTGGGATGAGAAACTGGTTCCGGGAAAGTGGTCGACCCTGAGATCCTACATGGCAAACAAAAACACGGCATCGTAAAAATCACGCCCAGAGCCCTAAACCCCATCTCCCTCCGCCATCTTTCGAGCCGGATCGATCCGTGAGTGTCCCGGGGCCAGCAGAACGGCGAACCCGCCCGGCTCGAAGACGTCGAGACGCCAGGACCTCGAGGGAACGGTCGGGGGGCCGCGTCTCGGAAAGCTCGAGACGCCAGATGTCTCGAGTCGGGCGAAAGGGGGGAATGGCAAAAGGGGGGCTTGAGAATCAGCTCACGTAGCTGACTTTCCCGGCGCCTCCCGGCGCCGGAGGCGGCCATGTCTCGAGGAATGGGCCCCTCGGTGAGGCCGAAACCAGCTGCATGCAGCAAATTTCGTAACCCCCCCTTTCCCAATCCCCCCCTTTCGCCCGGCCCGGATGTCTGCGGCCGTGCCCGGCATCCTGGGCGGCCTGCGGTGGGACAGCGCAGGCCGCGGGTGCAGGCTGGCCATCGCTCGGACGTCCATTCCCTGTGTTTTTTTCGGTTTCGCGCGTGGCTTTTTCGCCAAATGATCAAGGATGCTCCTCGATGGTCCGCGCCGAGGAAGAAACGCACACGTCCGAGCGATGCCAAGCAGGCGTGCTCGGGTGCGGGGCGGGCCCTCGGGACTCCTGCGGGAGGCAGGGAGGGCACACCCCCGGCCGCAGCCGACGGCCGTGCACGACAGCGGCCCCGGCCGCCCCGAAGACTGCAGCGCACGCCGTGGGAATCCCAGCGTGGCGACGCGAGGCGACGATTGCAGCACCGTGCCGCCGACCACCGAGGGGTCACGGACCGCCACAGCACTGGCAGGAGGAGCAGGCAGGGTCACGATCGCCGAGCATGCCCACATCTTGTGGAAACGCGGTCCCGTGAATACGCGCTCGAAGAGACACGTGTGATGTGAGGCCCCTGAGGTTGGCTGCCCCCCCAGGTGCAATCGCCCCCGGGTGGGGATGGCTGCGTCGGCTAGCACGATGCCCAATTGCAACTGTTGTCCAGCACGGACAAGAGGCCGCTGTTGGGCAGGCGGACTCCTGTCTCAAGTGAGCGACGATCAAAAACGGATCTTACGCGAGACGATGTAGCGACCTTACGCCGCGGCTTGCGCGGGCCGCCAGCGCGGCCCGCTGCATTGGAGATGAGGCCGCTTATGCGGGCACCTTACGCGCGACCTTACGCGGGCAGCTTACGCGCCGATGTCGGCACAGACGACCGGCGGAGACAAGGCCCGCGGCGGCACCGACAGCGAATCCGGTTCAACATGCACAGGACATTATGTCGGTAATTGTACCCATTACTTCCGTGCCCACTCCGATCGTCCCGAGATGTAGCTCACAGCCACCAGCTGGGTCGGACCTACGTAGGGCAGAAGAGCAGCCATCAAGAACAGAAGACCCTCCACCGGCCAGGACACCCCAAGCACGCAGACTCCTCGGGGGCAGCCTCCCCCGGGGTGCACGAGAGCATGCCGCAACAGCGACGAACATCAGGGGACACCCTGTCCGAAGCGACCTCGATCGTATACCTCGGCCCGACCGTACCCAGGTTGACCGTCCCGAGAGATAGCCCACGGCTACCAGCTGCAGCTCCTCCTCCTCCTCCTCCTCCTCCTCGTCCTCCTCCTCCTCCTCCGCCTCCTCCTCCTCCTCCTCTCCTCGGAGGAGGAGGCCGCCGCTGCCTGGGCGCGGCGATGAGCCGCTCGATGCACGCGTCGTGGCTGCCCAACACCTCGGGCCGGCGCGGGGGCAGGGCCCAGGCCCCCCCCCTCCGCCGCCTCTCCTGACTCGACTCACAAGCTGCAGGCTCCCCACCGTCGACGTGGACGAGGACGAGGCCAAAACCGAGGACGAGGACGAGGAGGAGGACGAGAGAACAACGACGAGGACGAGGTCAGGGGCGAGGACGAGGATGAGGATGAACGAACGACGACGAGGGCGAGGACGAGGTCACAGCCGAGCACGAGCCGCATCCTGATGGGGGAGAGCAGAGGGGGCCGCCTCCCTGCCCGTCTCCTCTGACGCATCCGCCGCAGGCCGCGAACCCTTCGGGGGGGGAACTCTCGTGAATACAGTCGAGGCGTTGACCTAAGGGACCCTAAATAAGGAACGAGGCCCCTGTTTTCCATAAGTTAACCTTCGTTTTCGTATCGAAAACAAAAGGAAATCCTGAGGCAAGCTGTGAAATAATTAAGGAACACGGAGCCCCTCCCCAACGAAAAGGGTTCCTTCTTCAGGGCCCCGACTGTAGTCAACAGGCGCGTTCCACGTCACGCAGAGGAACTACTCGCATGTTTTTTGTTCGTGGCAAGGGCACCCGGAGGTGTCTCCAGATGCGATGTGTGCGTGTAGTGGTATGAGGGGCGCGTCACTTTGGGGCATGGCCCACTCGCTTGCCTTGCGCTGTAATGGCGGAACCAGTGGAAAAAAGTGTGAAGAGCCCTGTTGCCGGGCATACCGTTTACGCTCGCAGTCCCGCGCCTCCCACATCAGCACATCAGCTGCTGGGAATCTGGGGCATTTCTGGAGAACGGCATGGTGGCACTTCGGCCGCCTCTTGTCCGCAAATGGCCCGGATCCGCCGCACGGGCTCTACGATCCAGTACATCGAAGCAGATGTGACATGTGCTCGTCGGGCATTTGCGAGTATGCACTTTACGAGGAATGGAACGCGCTCGATGAAAGAGGGATGTCTGAAACGCTTGGTGCAGTTCAGTAGCGCTGTCGTCCTTGGCGGACTCAAGCTCAACACCACATGGGCTGCGGAACTGGAGGCAGAGACTCTGGCGAGAAACTGCCCCATGACTCCGCAACCGCATTATAGCTGCAGTGCTGTATCCCCAAACAAGGTTTTTAAACCCACTGCGGTCTCCAAGGTCGATTGCGTGCCCGTGCAGTGCGGGCTGGCAAGGCATGTTAAAACATCCCTCCTCCTCCTCCTCCTCCTCCTCCCCCTCCTCCTCCACCTCTTCATCCCGAACGGCATCTCGGAGCCCAGAGTTGCGAAAATGTCTCCAGCGTAACGGGCTGGACCACCTCGCGCGCGGCATCTCGGACCCTAGAGTTGCGACGATGTCTCGGGCGAAACGTGCTGCGAGGAAGTCTCAGGCGAGACGGGCTGGACCACGTCGAGCGCGGCGTCTCAGAGCTCCGAGTTGCGGGGGCATCGTGGGGCCTCCTGGGGCTTCCTGGGGACCTCCTGGGGCTTCCTCCTGGGCCTCCTGTGGCCTCCTGGACCCCACCTGGGGCTTCCTGAAGCCTCTTGGGGCTCCCAGGTGGGGATATATAACATGCATGTGACCGTCGGGCCCCCCCGAACGGGGGGGGGGCCACAGGAGCAGGAACAATCATCGAATCGGCACCGGATGTGTATTAACTTGACACGTTCTGATAGGGGGCCTCCTGGGGCCTCCTGGGAGCTTCCTGGGAATCTCCTGTGGACCCCTGGGGCCTGTCCTGGGCGTCCAGCAGCCTCCTGAAGCTCTCTGGGGTCTCCTGGGGCTCCCAGGGTCCCAGGGGCATATGTAACATGTGGTCTTCTGGGCCGGCATCTGGGAGCTCAGAGTTGCGAGAATGTCTTGTGCGAAACGGGCCCGACCATCTCGCGCACGGCATCTCAGAGCTCAGAGTTGCGAGGATGTCTCAGGCGAGACGGACTGGACCACTTCGCGCAGGGCATCTCTGAGCCCAGAGTTGCGAGGATGTCTCCAGCGTAACGGGCTGGACCACCTCGCGCGCGGCATCTCGGACCCTAGAGTTGCGACGATGTCTCGGGCGAAACGTGTCGCGAGGAAGTCTCAGGCGAGACGGGCTGGACCACCTCGAGCGCGGCGTCTCAGAGCTCAGAGTTGCGGGGGCCTCTCTCATGGGCCTCCTGGGACTCCCAGGGTCCCAGGGGCATATGTAACATGTGGTCTTCTGGGCCCCAAGGCTGGACTACCTCTTGCGCGGCATCTGGGAGCTCAGAGTTGCGAGAATGTCTTGTGCGAAACGGGCCCGACCACCTTGCGCACGGCATCTCAGAGTTCAGAGTTGCGTTGATGTCTCAGGCGGGACGGGCAGGATCACCTCGCGCAGGGCATCTCAGAGCTCAGAGTTGCGAGGATGTCTCAGGCGAAACGGGCTGGACCACGTCGCGCGCGGCATCTCCGAGGTCAGAGTTGCGAGGATGTCTCAGGCGAAATGGGCTGGACCACCTCTTGCGCGGCAGCTCAGACCTCACAATTTCGAGGATGTCTCAAGCGAAACGGGCCAGACCACCTCTCGCGCGGCATCTCAGAGCTCAGAGTTTGGAAGACGTCTCAAATGAAACGGGCTGGACCACCTCTCGCGCGGCAGATCCGAATGCAAAAGCGAGAGGATGTCTCAAGTGAAACGGGCTGGACCACCTCTTGGGCGGCATCTCGGGGCTCAGAGTTTAGAGGATGTCTCAAGCGAAACGGGCCGACCCACCTCTCGCGCGGCATATGGGAGCTCAGAGTTGCGAGAATGTCTCAGGCGAAACGGGCCGGACTACCTCTTGCGCGGCATCTGGGAACTCAGAGTTTGGAGGATGTCTGACGCGAAACGCCCAATCCCGGACAACTCACAAACGAGAGTTGCGAGGATGTATCAGGCGAAATGGCCCGGACCACCAAATTGTTGACGCTTCGCGAATCCCCACCCTCGGTCGCTGTGCAATTAGGCTCGCGCGTAGCACCTCCCCTCCCGCCGTCTGCGCTGGCCCTTAGGCAGCCGTCCGCTTATGCCGCCTCGCCCGTGCGTGCAATTAGATCGGCCCGCGGCCCGGACCTTTCACCACGGCGCCTGCGCTTTCGCTTGCGCCCGCGAGGAAAAAAAGAATCCCGACCAGCCCATCCAGAAACGATGCCCAAAGGAATTGCCTCGATCAGGGAAGCGGGCAGCACACAGAGGAAGGGTCCCCCAGTGGAGGCCCCTTGGAGTATCTTGGGGGCCTCTTGGCGGTCCCTGACGCCTCTTAGAGTTTCTCAGGTGCCTCGGAGAGCTTCTTGGGACCTCTTGGGGGTCTCTTGGGAGCCTATTGGAGAACTCTTGGGCGCCTGTTGAGGCCTCCTGGGGCCTCCTGGACGCCTCTTGGGGCCCTCTTGAAGCGCTCTTGGGGGCCTTGGGAGCGCTCCTGGACCCTTCTTGGGCCATCGTGGAGCCATCTTGAGGCCTCGGCGGTAAAGCCACAAACATTGATTGTCCAAAGGTTTTGGAAGGATGTTGGCCTCTTCGGGGCCTCCTGGGGGAGCTCTTTGGCCACTTGGAGCCGTCTTGGAGCGGTCTTGGGGCCTCTTGGAGCGTCGTGGGCGCCATCTTGAGGCATCTTGGGATATCTTGAGCCATATTGGAGATCATCTTTGGCTCTCCCAGGCGCTCCTGGAGTCATCTGAAGCAGTGCCCCCCCCCCCCCCCCCCCAGGAGGCCAAAATGTGGCCAAAACCTCAGTAAAATCAGCGATTTGGGCATTGTCGCCGAGGCCTCTTGGTGCGTCTTGGGTGCCTCTTGGGGGCCTCTTGGGGCCTCTGGAGGTCTCTTGGAGGTCTCTTAGGAGCCTCTTGGGGGCATCCTGGGGGCCTCCTGGGGGCCTCTTGGGGTTTCCTGGCCACCTCTTGGAGCCCTCTTGGGGCACCCTTGGGGGCCTTGGGGACTAGATTTGCGCCATCTTGGGTGAGATCGATCACAGGAGGGGGGGGTGTTTAATTAGGGCCCCCCCCAAGAAGCCAAAATGGAGACAAAACCATGGTGAAACCAATTGATTTGGATTCCTCGCCGAGGCCGTTTTGGACGCTCCGACACCTCGCGAAAACCCTTGTCCAGGTGCATGGGGAGGGGGTAGGGGGAGGGGCAAACCCCTCCCCGAAGTGGAACAAGGAGGGGTGGAAGAGGAAACGCTCTAAACCACCGACGCCCAGAAGGCTGGTGGGATTTGCTTGAGGACGTCTCTGCTTTGATTTCCCTCGGCCGGAGTTAGCTCCTATCACAACCGCGCCCCGTTCAGCAATCTGTTTGTGGAATTAAGGCTGGCATGTGTAAAAATGTTCAGCATGAGTTCGGAGATTAGGGGGGCAGGCCTCCTGCGAAGGCGGCGGGGCTTCTCTCTGGTTGACCCAGAAGGGGGCCAGCTGAACGGGGGTCCAGCTGACATGGGGTGGTGCAATACAGTTGGGGGAACGGTATTGCACATGCACTGCACCATAATGAGATTGCACTGTAGTGCATCCAACGTGATGCGCACGAGAATCCAGCAATGAATCTGCGCACCAGAATGTACTGCGCGCCCCGAATCTGCTGCATCCCCACAGATCGATTGCACACCAAATTGAATGCACCAGATGCGCTCCCTCCTCCCCACTGGAACACCCTCGTAAGCCAACCGGATCGTTTCGGACTCTTTTGCGGACTCCCTTTGGACTCTGTCGGTCTATGCGCCACCCTGCTCTCCCTGGATCCCCCTTGCGGATCAGGCAGATGATCGGACGCCACGCCGCCTCTCTCTCTCCTCGCGCCGCCGACCGCCCCTCTTCGGCGGCGCGCGAAGGGAGCAGGCCCCTCCAAAAGGAGGCTCGGGCGTCGAGCACTGCGGGGGCGAGGACTGGGGGAGGGGGGGGGGGAAGGGTGCACACATCGGACCCCGGCAGGCCTCCCGTTGGGGCCCGAAAAAAGGCCCCTCCTGACCTGCTGAGGGGCCCCGCTCCTGCGCGGCGGCCTCCGACGGCTTCTCGCAAGGCCGGAGGGGGCCTGCCGAGCCTTCCGAGCAGGCCTGGCCGTCCTCGTCCGCCCCGTCCACATCCTCCTCCTCCTCCTCTTCCTCCTCCTCCTCCTCCTCCTCCTCGTCCTCCCTCTCCTCGTCCTCTCCTCCTCCTCCTCCTCCTGCTCCTCCTCCCCCTCCTCGTCCTCCTCCTCGTCCTCGTCCTCCCTCTCCTCGTCCTCGTCCCGCTCCTCCTCCTCCTCCTCTCCTCCTCGTCTTCCTCCTCCTCCTTCTCCTCCTCCTCGTCCTTCCTCTCCTGGTTCACGTCCCCCTCCTCCTCCTTCTCCTCCTCCTCGTCCTCCCTCTCCTCGTCCTCGTCCTAGTCCCCTTCCTCCTCCTCCTCCTTCTCCTCCTTCGGGCGGGAGTGACATTCAGGAAGGCGAGCCTTTCCTGCAAACGGACGGTCGCGTCGGGCGGGCGGACCCTGACTGGCGGACCCTGACCGGCATTGGGGGGGGAAGAGAGGCGACACGCATGACCCAGACCCCCGAAGTCATGACTTGTTTCATTATGCCGACACCCAGAGGTCTCGACTGACTACCTACATGACAACCCCCACCCATCCCGAAGTCCCAAATTTCGGTTTTGGGAGGGTGCACGGGATTCATCAGTGTTTCTCCATGCCTTTTCAATTGACAGGAAGGGCAAATCCGGTCCTTCGGGTGGGGTTGGGGTGGCTTGGTGGGTGGTGATCGACCCCGTCCCCGGGACCAGTTTTGCATCCTCAGTGGTATTCTGACGGCCTCGGGGCCCAGCAAGGGCCCAAGGCGGCCGAACATCGCGAGAGGACCTCCCGTCTGGATTGTCTCCTGACTCGAGCAGGCCTGGGGGCTGTCTCGACCCGCCCTCCTCCGGATCACCTCATCCGATAGGGCGCGCGCGATGTTCAGCATGAGCTGCATCCGCCGGGAAGCCGCCCGTCGACGGCGCCTCAGGAGCACGCAGCGGGACGCCAGCGCCTGCCCGAGGGACCCCGCCGGCCCGCGGCCCAGAGCAGGGCAGCAGAGAGGGGGGACGGGGGCAGGGGGGGGGGAGCCTCCTCCTCCCTCCTCCTCCTCCTCCTCGGCCTCCTCCCCCCCTCCCTCCCTCCGGCTCCTTTTCCACCTCCTCCGCCTGTTCCGCCTCATCCTCCCTTCCTCCTCCTCCTCCTCCTCCTCCTCCTCCTCCTCCTCCTCCTCCTCCTCCTCCTCCTCCTCCTTCTCCTCATCCTCATCCTCCTCCCTCATCTCTCCTCCTCTCCTCCTCCTCCTCCTCCTCCTGCTCCTCCTCCTCCCTCATCCCTCTCCTCTTGCTTCTCGTCCACCTCCTCCTCTCTCTGGTTCTCCTCTTACTCCTCCTCCCTCCCCCTCCCTCCCCCTCCCTCCATCCATGCAGCTGCTCCTCCTCCTCTTCCTCCTCCTCCGCCTCCTCCGCCTTCTCCTCCTCCTCCCTCACCTCTTCCTCCTCGACCTCCTTCCTCCACCTCCTCCTCCTCCTTCTCCTCCTCCTCCTCCTCCTTCTCCTCCTCCTGCTCCTCCTCCTCATCTCACTCGTCCTCCTCCTCCTCCTCCTGGATGGGAAGCGCAAACATGGACTAACGACGCGTGGATTGGGAACGGGCCCCGCTTCCGTACGGCATCGGTGTGCTCCGTCGCAAGATCGGGCGGCACTGGCCTCACGTGTCGGTGGGTGCCTCCCACGATCCGTGGATCTGGCGCCCACGAGCGAGATCCGTCGAGATCTGTTTGATGTCGGCATGTACCCGAGAGGGGAGGGGATGGGGACAGGATCGGGGGGAGAGGGACGGTGGGGAGCCAAGACGAGGAAAGGAACGGGAAGATCCTCTCGACGATGCGTGAGCGGACCAATTTGGCTCTCCTCCTCCTCCTCCTCCTCCTCCTCCTCCTCCTCCTCCTCGAACGCCTCCACCGACTCCTCCTCCTCCTCCTCCTCCTCCTCCTCCTCCTCCTCCTCGAACGCCTCCTCCTCCTCCTCCTCCTCCTCCTCAACCTCCTCCTCGTCCTCCTCCTAGTCCGTATCATGCATCCCTCTGCTCCGCCTCCTGCCCCCACCGTCAGATCCTCCTCCACCTCCTCCATATTTTTCCTCCTACTCATCTTCCTCGTTCCCATCTTACTCATCCTCTAACCTTTTCCGATCCTCGTCCACCTCCTCCTCCTCCTCCTCCTTCTCCTCAGCCGCCGTTTCGCAGCGCGGGGGGGGATTTCGGCGCGCGAGGCGAGCCCGACGTGCTACCGCGTTTAGTCGCGGGGCCGCAGCAGGGCAGGGGGCCGCGGGGAAGGGAGGGGTGGCATGCGTGGCGCGCGCAGCACATCGTGGTGAGCGGCACGTACGGCACGTACGACAGCATGCGCGTGGCCACCTACAACCCCATGCACGCCGCGTACCACGATAGGATCATTGACATCAGTACTGCATTAAAGGACTGGGAAGTCATCATCCTCACCGGTACGAGCAATCGTGCCCTCGAAGACCAGCCAGCACAGCAGCACCATTTCGGACACCATTGGGGAGTGCAGCTTGGTTATAAGAAGGGCAGGTTGACGAGCACGGCGTGTGGGGTCAGTTTTCTTGTCAAAAGCAACCTGCCCACGCAGTCCCTCCACACGGTGATGAGACCCCCCTCGGAACTCCAAGGTAGAGTAGCAGGCATCCGACTGCAGACAGCACAGATCGACACGGCGATTTTCGGTGTATATTTTGCCCCCACCTCGGTGCAACGACATGGTGAGATAGCTCGTAAAATAACTAAGTGGTTGGATGACCAGATAGACAAGCTGGGGGTGAGGACCAACAGTATCGTAGGTGGTGACGTCAACTCGGACTTCGGTCTCTCTCGAGACCGCGACGGCAGCGTCCACACTACGAAGAGTATCAGCTTAGGAGGCCATCGCCCGAAACTTGAGAACCAGAACGGTCTCGAGTTCAGAGAGTTCTGCGAGCGCAACCAGTTATTCATAGCATCGGCCAGCAGTAAAGTCAACGACACCTTTTTCGGCCCCACTGGTGGACAAAGCCGTATCGATCACATAGCGTTCCCAGTCAATGCAAGACACCAGCTACGAGCGTGTGCAGCACTTACGACAGCTGGAAAAAGGTTGCAAACGATCAAAGCACGAGGCCATCGAGATCACGTCCCTGTTGGTCTCGACTTGGATGTCAGTCTTTTCCATCATCGAAGTAAGAGGCAAAAAGAAGAGCGCCCAGACCGCAGTGCCCTGATGAGATGTTTGACCAGAGGCTACAAGAGGAGAGACTTCTTCGAGAATGTTGACAAGAACCTATCGGAGGTAGGAGAAGACTCTTTCCAAAAAGCTCTTCTGCAAAAATCACCAGACGCATATTGGGGCATCTTCGGCCTGTGTGTGAGACAGGCTCTACTAGACACGTTCCCAGAGCAGCCCCTGTACGTTGACAACGTGTACGAGCACATGCGCGCGTACCGCATGCACATGTTGGGCAGGAGGAGGGAGCTGAGGGAGAAGATGGTGGACTGCAAGGGGGAGGAGGAGTTTTTGGACGTCTGCGAGGATCTTAAGGAAATCACAGCATGCATGAAAAAGATCAGAAAGCAGTACCTCCTTCGGAAGAGAGCGGATCTCGCAAGCCAGATTTGGAACGCTTATGTGGAACAACGCTATTCGGACATGCACAAATTGAGAGTACTCTACCAGGGCAACGGGAGGGGGCCCAAGCGTCGGTATTATTACAGCCCCAGAACAGGATGGAACAACAGGACATGGGAGGAGGAGTTGGGGAAGGCGGCAAAGGATGGAGGATTGGCAGGTGTAGCTATAAACTGGAACGACGAGCTCAGTCATTATAGGTACGACTGTGAAGACTACGAACTTGCCTATGTTGATGCTGACCTTCTCCATCTAGTACAGAAAGACCGACGTTCGATGCTCAGATATTGCCGCAGGGCGGCAAAAAGACGTGCTTATCCCAGCTGGGGCCTCCCCACAGAAGCAGTGTGGTTACTATTGCAGCCGAATGTCAACATGGAGTCTCCTAATAAGTTGAGCGAGTTGAATGAACAAAGGCAGATTAGACATGCTGAAAAAATGGAGGAGGAGGAGGAGATGGAGAGATTCACTGCGGAGTTTACGTACCGAGTGGGCAGGAGGCTACTGGAGAAGATGGGGTGGACCAGGGGAGAGGGACTCGGGGCGCCTGGACCTGACGGCGCCGCTCGACCGCCAGAGGAGCCGCCGGTGGGCGACTTGTGGCAGTTTCGTCGGGAGGAAAGGGCAGGCTTGGGGAGTACGGAGTTGTGCGCCGAAACGTACGCGTTTGAGAAGGTGCTGCAGGATTATTTAGTACACATCCGTCGGTGTCAAGCCATGCCCCTCTGCAGTTACAGGTCCCTGAGCTTCTCGAGTGACAAGGCAAATGGCAAAAACAACATAAGTGGCAAGCGCATCATGCACTGCTATGATGCATTCTCCATGGCCTGGCACTCGGGGATACCCTACCGAGCACAGAAAGTATGGACGCCTACATGGGCACAGGGGGGGATAGCACACAGAAGCAGAGAGAGCATCATCACCATCATCATGTGTAACAAGTGGAGGGCGGAGTGCAATAAGAAGAGTCTCATCGTGAGCAACTACGATTGTACCAATGCTTTCGCAGCGACAGAAAGAGAACGTCTTGAGATCCAAGCAGAGGAACATGCATGCCCCGAGGACGTACCATTTGCTATCGCGACGGTGAGACAACAGACGATGACCATGGAGACGTCAGACGGTACATTAGATATCAGGTCCACCACAGGTACTCAGATGGGATTTACTACAGCTCCCAGAGATTTTATCAATACATACAACAAGGAGGTGGAGGAGTGGAGGATGGGAGATGGTTCTTTACCACAGATCCTCGTCACCCTGACCTACCCCCTATAGATACCCAATTGAGTGTGTTCATGGACGACATTACGAAGAGCACGGTCATTGAGGAGGGGGCATCGGCGGCTAAGGTCACCGAGATACTGAACGGCAGCACATCTAGGTTGGAAAGTTGCTTGGCCAAAGGGCAGTGGACGCTCAACCCCAGCAAAACTAACCATCTACTCGATCTACGGGGGGCTCGACACTACCAGACTACACGCCGCTTGAGACGTAGTAAAGAGCTGAAGGGTCAAGCCCTTCGAGAGATGCGTGTATTAGGTCCGCATTTACCGAGTGAGCAGGGCATGTTGAGCGAGGTACTCAGGAGAAGTCAAGCTGCCAGACAGGCTTGGCGACAATGCGGGTGCTTCTGGACGTCCTCCACAGCTAAATGTATACGACGGGCGATGTTTCAGGCCTTCGTAGTGGAAGCCGCTCTTAGTGGATTATCTGCCTTCGTCATCCCTGATAAGTTTGTCAGCATCCTAGACCAGACCCTGGGGAAGTTTTTGAGGGTGCTATCTAAAGGAGAGATGAGCTGGGTGACGGAGGAGGGGGAGAGGAGGTGCAGGTCCACGAAGTTTGTTTTCAGAGCATGGCAGATACCTAGATGTGCTACACAGTTGAGAGTACGAAGGATTCGAAATTACCTCCGCTGGGCGAAGTATCCAGATGATCATCAGGCGGTGGTAGCTGCGGTGTTTGGCACAGCTTGGATGGACCAGGCTCCCAGATTATCCGAAGACTTCAGAGTGCACAGCGAGTCGACCCCCTGGGCTAAACAATTCGTGTCCGACCTCGATCATTTGGCTTCCGTCGACCCCGAGTTCGCCGAGTGGTACCATGCGAGAAGCGACGATATCAGCATATTGAAACGAGGGAGCCCAGAGAACGACAGGTTTCTGCAAACGGACCCGTCGTACTTGAATGCAGTCGAGAGGTACGGGGAGGTGTCACCTGATATAGAGGAGGAGGAGGAGCAGGCGATGGAGGAGTACTACAGACCCTATTGGTGTGATCACACGAAGGAGGAGGAGGGAGGAGAAAAAACGACCTGTGGCAAAAGGTTTTTGAGTGCAACAGGCCTTATCGCCCATCGTCGTGAGGCACACGGTGTGACACCTCTATTGAGTAAGATTATCATCACAAACCAGTGCCCCTGGTGCAGAAGCTGTTTCGTGAATAGAGCAGGTGCCTTGGACCATGGTCGCAGGGCAGCCTTGAGGTTTGGAAAGTGCTTCGTAGATCACTCGAAGTGGAGCCACGAAGTGCAGGTCCCCGATGACTTGAGTTGCCGCGTATGTGCTTTCTCGGCTCAAAACTTCGAGAGCTTTCAGGAGCACGTCCGACAGCACTTGCCAGGACCACACTCGGTGGTGGAGGCTGCCGATCGAGACTGCGGGGACGAGGATGTCGTGGAGAGTGAAGAGGGCACCACCAGGAGGAGAGCCTGGCCTAGAACGAGACAAGAAGGAGGCACGACAAGAGGGTGGAGCTCGAGGAAAGGGCGGCAAGGCGAAGGACGGCGAGAGCACGGACATCAGGGAGGCCCTGGTCACCGTGCAGAAGCTCGTGCTGCGCAACAGCCAGGAGAACCGCGACATGATGAACGGCATATTCGACTTCTGGCTGGTCCCAGGATCGTCGGCAATGGTCACAGCAGGGGCCGACACAGGCCTCGACTACAACAACACGGTGAAGAGGTTGGGGAAGGGCCATGGGCAGGGGCCGCCGCATGTGCACATCGCGATGGCGGTGGTCGAGAAGGCGGTGGAGGTGCTCGACGAGCAAGACAAGTGGCAGGCGGAGAGCAAGCTCTTGCTCAAGGAGTGGGTCGGGGCGGCCAGCGGCGAGCACGGACAGAGGCTCGTGGACGCGACCTTCAGCATGTTCAGGATCAAGAAGGCCTACCAGCGCGAGTCGGACCTGGAGGAGATGTACAAGGTCATGTTCGGCATCCGGCCGCTGGTCGACTTCAAGACGGCGCTGCGCTTGGCGGAGGCGTCCTCGGAGGTCATCGCACAGGTACGCCAATTTCAGCCAGCGCTTCTTCGAGAGGCGCTGAACCACGCGTGGTTCCTGCAGAAAGGTGTGATGCCAATGGGAGCGGGACCGAAGACAGAGTTGGAGAGGGTAGTAGAGGCTCAGCTGAAGCAGCTGATCAAACAGGGAACGCTGAAGAGGAGCTGAGACGTAGGTACGGTCAAGTGATTGTAGATATTGCACACGACCCGAGGCGACAGCAGACGCTTCGCAGCATGGTAGCAGGTGGCAGTGAGCATGCTAGCAGACTCTTGCAGCAGGTGAAAGAGTATCGCAGCTCACTGCAGAATACGCTTCAATTTGACAATATTAGACGAGATGCCGCCCCTGGCGGCAACGGCGCGCCTCCCAGAGAGGCAGCAGGCGCCGCTCCCGATATCGCATTATAGGGGGAGGAGGCTCAGCCCCAAGGCATCCCCTAGCCAGCTAGGGATAGCCTAGAGGCTTTGTCTCCTCCCTCCTCTTCTTCATATCCCCCGCGGGATCTTCCTCGCCGACGGGGCATCGCGCGCAGTCTTTGCACCGCCGCGTCGCCTCATGCCGTGGCGGCCTGCTGCTTTGCAGGCGGCCCAGCCTCCATATTCAACGGAGGGGCCACGCTCAGCTGCAGGATGACAGACTGATGGCCCCCAACTGAGCACCACCACCACCACCTCCTTCTCCTCATCCTCATCAGCGTCAGTATCAGCATTCTGATCATCATCATCATCATCTTCATTATCATCAGCATCATCATCATTTCAACATCCTCCGCCTTCTGCTTCAATATCAACTTCTTCCTCCTCCTTGCTCGTACACCTTCCCTCATCTACCCCCCTCCCTCATCCCGCCCCTTCCCCCGCCCCCTCCTGAAGGTGATCAGCAGAGGGACAGCCGCTGGAGCGCGACCAGAAGATGGAAACACCCCGAACACGTAGAGATTCGAAGGAGCGGTATACACAGGCGAGGAATGCCTCGCAGCCGAAGTCGGCCCAAGGGCAGTGGTGGGGCGCGGGGGGGGTGGACGGGGCCCTGCGACACACAAATCAATACACACACAAATAACAGGATTCACCATATTTCCAGAATTTTATCCCCACCCACTTCCCATATGCTCCCCATACTTCCTGGGGAATTGAATGATTCATTGTGTCTGTGTGCTTTTGTTCCCTCCCGAGGGGTGGGGGAGCAGGACGCCGCGGGCGGCGAAGCACGCTCAGAACGAGGAGACCCTCCACGACACCGGCGACCGTGCGCACGCGAGACAGCACAGATCTCGAGCCTCGGACAACAGACCCTCTCCCCATCCCCCATTTCCCCCCTCCCTCCTCCTCCTCCTCCTCCTCCTCCCCCTCCTCCTCTTCCTCCTCCTCCTCCTCCTTCAAGTCCTCCGTCTCCCATGCGCCCCCCCCCCCAACCCACCCCACCCAACCGGTCGCCTCTAGCACCGAGGCGGCGGAGTCCCGCATCGAGCACGACGCCACGGACGTGACCTTTTGCCGAGGCTTCGGGAAACAGGAAGAAGGGGCCGAGGTGTAGGTCTGGTGGCAACGCATGGGAGCCTCCCATACCATCGCGCTGGCTCTTGCGAGCCGACGCCAGCCAACGCCAGTCGACGCCAAATCGACGCCCTACCGGGGCTTCCCCATCCATCGCCAGACGCCAGCGCCGGCTGCTACACACTACGGACGGAGTTGCAAAAACAGACGAGGTTCACATGACTTGCCCCGGGGAGCAGGAACCTCGCCATAACTTGGACGTCCACTCCCCGTGCGGTGTTCGGCTTCGCGCGTGCAAATACGCTTCGTGAGATGATCCAATGTGCTCTTCGATGGCTCTCGCCGGACAAAAAATGCGCACGCCCGAACGATGCCAAGGGAACGGGAGGGGGGAACTGCGCCATCGGATGAGTAGGCGTAAAAGGACCCCTAACCCTCGGGGAGGCACTGCGCCATCGAACGAATAGGCGTAAAAGGACCTCTAACCCTCGGGGAGGGGAGGGCCAGGATCCATGGGAATAGGGGGTCTTGCCTGCAGATGCATCGAACCCAACCGCCCGTACTTCATTGGCCCCAGTGCAAAAAAAACAAGGAAATTCGGGGAGGCCACGCCTTCATCGTATCATCACGCTTCGTCTTGTTTCCCCTCGACGATCGGGCTGCCAAAGGGCAGTGCGGCCCCCGCGGAGCTGCCACGGCCCCCGCCCTGGAAGGGCCCGCGGCCCAGCGCGTGGGCGGGGTCGGCGGACCAGCGCCGCCCCCCGCCCCCCAAAAATCCGCCGCGCTCCCGGGGGGGGGGGGGGGCCTCGTCGTCGTCGTCGAGCCTGCCCTCCTCCACGGCCTGGGGGCTGTCCCCGTCCGTGGCCCGCGTGTAGGCGCGCCGCAGCAGCGCGGCGCCTGCCCCAAGGGGGGGGGGGGGGGGCGGGCGAGCGCGCGCGCGCTGCCCCGCCCCCGGCAGGGGAGACGGCGGCAGAGACACTGCACCTGGCATGCCCTCAGGTGATGGACTCTGTGAAACTCTCGATGGGTGGGCCGCGAGCCCCCCTCTCTGTCTCTCTCCCTCTTTTTCCCTATCGTTTGTGGTAGATTTGCGTACGCACACATCTATACGCAGCGCCCCGCAGTTGCGGATAAATCAAACAATACGTTTCGAGTCGTGTGGGTGGTGCTCCACCTCCTCCTTCTCCTCTTGCTCCTCCTGCTCCTCCCGAGAGGTACACCAAACTGCGGGTCCGAAAGACAACCGCGCGGCACATAGCAAACCAGGCACCCAAGCAGGCGAGGTCTCGCCTGACCTCCTGGGGAGAGGAGGAGGAGGGGGAGGAGGAGGAGGAGGAGGAGGAGGAGGAGGAGGAGGAGGAGGAGGAGGAGGAAAGGATCCACGTAGGACACCACTCCACCGGACCTCCTGGGGACTCACGACTGGGGGCGGCAGTTGCGCAAACTGCAACGCTCCGGAGGGCGAGGCCTCATGCCGTGAGGCGCTGTCCCGCTGGACCTCCCGAGGTCGAACAGGTCCGCAATCGGCAGCCCCCCTAAGCAGGCGAGGTCTCACCTGATCCGCGTAAAACAGCACTGACAGTTGGGCACGTGGCAGCACCAAGGAAAAGCGAGGTCTCGCTTGTATCTGCGCAGGACACCACTCCACTGGAGCTCCCAGGAACTCACAAGGGTGGCGACGGCTGCACAACTGGCAGCCCCCAGTGGAGCGATGTAGGAGGCATTCAAGAGGCATGAAGGAGGTAGGAGGCACAGGCGGGAGGAGAGAAGGGAAAGGAGGAGGCGGCAACAGTGCTCCATTCAAAACGAAAACGAAACGCAGAATGGTTGAGGAAAGAACAAACCCCAGAACCTTCGATCACCCTCCTCCCCCTCCCCCTCCTCCCCCTCCTCCTCCTCCTCCACACCGTGCTCGCGTCGAATTGGGGCAGGAGGTCCCTGTGTAGGATCAGCAGCAGCGGCCACTGGGTGCGAAACCTCGCCGGCGCACGTTGAACGATGCAGATAGGCAACTCCCTCCCCAGACCTACCAAAACACTGAATATACAATGATTCTTCTATACGGGGTCCCCAGAAGTCCCGACCCCTTCCCCAGGGCTGGCTTCTCATCCTGAATCATGTCTTGAAGGCCCTGAAGCCCGAAAGCGGCCCCTAGAGGCCGAAAATAGTAAAAAACACGTCCGTCTTGGTTTGGTCAAGATGCTGGATGTCTTGCCAGGCTGGACCCTTGGAGGAGTGCGGCGACGCATCGTGAACGGAGTTGGGTCGGACAGCTGGCGCGCTCGATAAAACAGCGCCGATGCCTATTCGTCCGCGATGTCGTTGTCCTTCTTTTTTTTGAAGCGGCGTGCTGATGTTCCCAGAACGGCACAAGAGTGGCACATGTCCAGCACCCCAAGCAAAAGTGTCGCTGGACAGGGAAAGGTCCAGGCCATGAGAAAATGTGAACGGCAGCGGAATCAATGGATCGCAGGAGCGGGACATGGAGAAGCAGGAGAAGGGGAAGAGAGATGCGACATATGCAAGTGATGCAAGCGCCGCTTCCCGATAAGAATACTGTGCTGGCCAGGGAAGGGAAGCTCCCTACTCCATGCTTGCCTCAGCAATCGACGCGGAGCGAGCCAAGCCATCTGAATTGCCAGTCGCGTGAAGGTCCATGACCTTGCGGCATTCCACACTAGGCGTTGCGGCGTCCACGTGATCATCCTCACCCAGCAAGCCTCCCACGGCCAGACCCGTGTGCGCGAGGTGCTTGACGTAGAAATTCAGGTAAGCTGTAGCCTGTGGAGTCCTCCCGTGGGCAACCTTCAAGTCCACCTTCCCGAAGCTCATCCACTTGGAATCTTCCTCGCCGTCAGCATCAGCACGAAAGTGCAAGCCACCGCTCCACTGGGATTCTACCCAAGCCCCGGTAATGCTCAGCTCTTCGAAATACATGTCCCCGCAGTGCGTGCCCACGCGATGCGCTGACGCCTCGACCTGCAGCAGCGAGTTGTTGCTGCCCACGCCCCTGGGTAGGAGGAGCAAGGTGTGCCTGCCGGGCTCCATCAGGTCGAAAGCCTGACCGTGAATGTTCCGCAGGTGCGGATCCCCTGTGGCGGATGCTGCCTCATCCTGGCAGTAGCAGATGCGCCGTATCCCAGAGTGGCCAGGGACAGTCTCGCACCTCGAGCTGTAGCCGTCGCGGCCGTGCTCGCAGAAGTTGCCCGGGGCCCACAGAAAGGGCACGTCGTCCGTGGGATTCGAGCTCGGGACACCACCTGGGCAGAAGGTGGAGAGCTGCTTGCCGAGGGCGGTCTGGAGGGCACTTGCCGACGCAGCGGCGTCAGTCATGATCGTCTCGCTCGCAGATGTGCACGTCTTGCCGACCTCGCTGCATATCGCAGTGCAGGAGCGTGCGCTTGCCGAATCAATCACCCACTCGTCCGTCCGGGCCATGTAGGTCTTCAGCCCAGTTGCGCAACGCCCTCCTGTGGACAACAGAAACGACACGGAAAACACGGCGGACGGCATCACACCCATGTCTGGGAAGGCGTGAAAAAAAGACAGCTCACTCCAAAGGGCTTGTGTAATTTGTGTGGGTGCTTGTATCCAGACGGATTGAGCCAAAATCACTTCGGCACAAATGGCTACGGAACTTTCTGAGCTTTTTCGTCGGCGACCGGAGGTCCCAGAAGTTTCAAAAAGTGGAACAAACATGTCGTCGCGACTTCTGCTTGCGACGCCCGTCCGCGCCCAGCTGTGGTGGTGCGGATGTGCAGATCTCCGCTCATGACCCACGCGGCTCGCGAAACCCAGTTGGGCCAAAGGGAATCGGAGGGGACTGGCCTTGGAGGCGGCCGGGAGGTCTGAACCGGATGGGCCTCGAGAAAACCTGTCAGGAAGGTTTGAAGAGGGCAAATCCGCTCAAAAATCCCCTCCTGGACCCATCCCGGGGTCCGTCTGGTGCAGCTTTTCACCCTTGATCCGTTCTATCACCCGACAACGGCCCCCGGACCCGAAAAAGGCAAAAAAGCATCCTCGAACCCAGAACTTCGAACCTGCCACCTCTCCTGCTGGCCGGAGCCAGTGCTGTGCCACCTCAGGCCCCCAGCCGGCTCCGAGATTGGCCGACCCCCCTCGGCGCCCCCGGGTCTCGGTGGCCTGCGACGCGCAGGGCGACTGCCCGCCCCCCGTCTCGGTGGCCTGCGACGCGCAGGCCTGAGACCCTGCCTCGGCGCCCCCGGGGTCTCGGTGGCCCTGCGACGCGCAGGGCGGCTGCCCGCACCCGCACGTCTGACTGCGCGCGGTGGAGAGTCGAGTTCGATCGGAGGGGGCACGAGAGGGGACGAAAGAGTAACCCTTCGGAGGTCCGAGCGAGCCTCTTGGACCGGCGGCGGACCCGGCGCCCAGGCGCGCGGAGCGCGCCAGGGGGCACGACGCCGATGCGAGGAATCTGCGCAGAGCTCCGAACGTTTATGTGTTAGTTTAGTTTCGTCCTCGATGGCGGGGGCCACGCTGCCCGACGAATGCAGAGGACATATGGGGCACGGGGCGCACGACACGAGGGCACCCCTGATCTGGCAGGGCCGATCTGCTGAGCAAACTCGGCTGCAGGCGGGGCGCCACGAGCGCCGCCAGAGAGGGGGACGGCGCCAGTCCGGGAATCCGCGCGCACCTCCGAGGGCGCATCAGAAGTCTACGACTGCCTTCTCCGCCAGGAAAAGAGCAGGGTGTTATCCAAAGTTTGTCCGCCGCCTGCGGCCTCTCGGGGCCCTCGCCTGGGCCTGGGACCTCTGACAAAAAAAACGCTCGAGGTGAGAAGGCCGGCCCAGGACAAAAGAGTGCCAGAACTCCCCGGGACCCCGCCCCTGGGCAGGGCGACTGCCGCACCGTGCTAAGCCAGATCCGAAGGCTCGCGCGCCCTTGCGAGGCCGTGCCGTGATGGCGCGCCACGAAGGGGGCGGCTTTCCGTTTGTTGTTCGCCTTCGGGGACACCCCCCTCGCCGCCGCGGCTGGAAACAGCTCAGAAAATTGGCCGGAAGGGGTGCCTAAGAGATGCCAAGGGTTCCCCGTGGGGCGGATCTTCGTCAGGGTCAAGACGAGGGGGAGGATCCTTCCAAGAGGGCGGGGGGGGGGCCTGCTGAGAAGGCGGGGCGGCTCTCAGAAGCCCCCCCGGCTTCCAAAAGGACGCTTGCTCAGGAGCCTCGGGATCCCCTGCTGGGAAGGCAGGGCGGCTCTCAGAAACCCTCCCGGCTTCCAGACTACACCAGAGAAAAAAACCAATCAGTGGATGGCTTTCGCTGAGGAGATCGACCGGGAACCCGCGAGCCTGGGAACCCCAAACCCACCGACATCGGCCCGGCACCAATACCCGGGAACCCGGGAACCCGGAAACCGGGAACCCGGAGAACCCAGCCTGCCACCAAAATCGGCGGGAAGATTTCGCCAGAGCCTTCCACTTCCGCTATAGCGGGCCCCTTCATTGCAAGGAACCTGTTTGTTTTAGACTCTGGCAAGTTTACTTGCATGGACGGGGAGGGAGGGGGAGCTTAGCCTGAAGCAAGCCCGGGGGGGTGGGGGGCGCGGAAATCACGCAAGTCGAAAGGCACTTGCACGCTAGTATTCGCTTGAAGAGGGGCGAGGGGGGGGGGAGGGGGGGGGGCGGGGGAGGCGAACTCCATGCAAGTAAACTTGCCTGAATCCAAAAAAACAAGCTCCTGGTTGGGAAACTGTGCCGGACCCGGAGGGGTCCGGGGACCGGTCTTGAGCGGAGTCGGTCTCGCCCACCCTGCCCGACCGAGGATCGGGGGCGGCCAAGAGGGGGGTGATGACGAAAGGGGGGTGGGGATACAGGGCAGCTTTTGATACATCGGACTTCCAGGATGTCTAATACATGATTAATGTATGCATAAATCTATGCATGAACTCATCGATGCTTTTGATACTAATGCCCTGCATTTTTCATACATGATCCGCACGCGGAGCATGTACTAAAAACGGCACTGCACAGTCAACCCGTACAGTAAAGGATGCGCGGTGAGGCTGCAAGGGCCTTGGACGCCCATTCCGAGGCTTCTCGAGCGGGGCGCGGCCGACGCAAGCGGCAAAGGATGGACCTGGGAGGCAAGGATGCAAAGGGTACCCTGGGGAAGGCTGCCCATCCTTTCTATGCGGGCTGACTGTCTCATGGCGGGGGCCGTGACGTCTCATCTCCCCGAAAAGAATGCTTTTGCTCGGGGGCCCCTGATACGCCCCCCTCCCTTGGACGCCCCCCTTTTGGACACCCACGAGGAGGAGGAGGAGGAGGAGGAGGAGGAAGAGGAGGAGGAGGAGGAGGAGGAGGAGGAGGAGGAGGAGGAGGAGGAGGAGGAAGGGGAGGACGAGGATGAGGATGAGGACGAGGCCGAGGATGAGGTCGAGGCGCGCCCTCCCGAGCAGGAGCCCCCGCCGCCCGAGCGGCCCCCGCCGACCCCGCTCGGGCGGCCGCCCCCCTCGCCGCATACGCTCGCTCCCGTGGGGCGCGGCGCGCCGCCGCGGCCGCGGCCAGGGCGCCGGGGCAGGTCGGGGCGCGGAGGCCATCCCGGGGCGTCCGCGCTGGAGCGACTATACGGCGGCGTCGAGCTGCATGACCAGCCTCGAACGTGTCCCTGCCCCTAAGATTGGCACGCCAAGAGGCGAGGCCAATCTCTAGGGGGGAAACGAACCTACCTCGCTTTTGACCACCCTCGCTTCCAAGGGATACCAAACGATGCCAAATTGCAGTCAGGCCGCTTGACGAGGAGGCGCGTGGTATGGCTTGGTTTTGCCTGGAAGCGAAAGCGGGGTAGGTAATTCACGCTCTGAATCTCAGGGAGTCGCCCTCAAAACGTAGGGAAATCTTTCAGGTTGGCATCGCGAGGAGGAGGTGCCCAGCATGGGGATAGGGATGTATGTGCCAGGCTGGTAACTGCTGGATGGAGCGGGGGAGGGGCGGGGTGCCTGCCGCGGCGTCGAGCTGCAGGATCTGAGCTTTCTCCGAGGGCGGAGGGCGGAGGGGCGAAATCCATGTGGGCTTTTGCACCTCGACAACCAGGCCGTCTTGCGGTTCGCTTGTTGCAGATCCGAGCCTCGAACGTCCATCGAAACGGCATGTCCGAATTCACCCTTTGCCCTCCGCCCAAAAGAACATACTCGGAGGACGGAACGGGGAAGGGTCGGAGGCGCAGGGCGGCGGGGTGACTGCTGCGGCGTCACGCCGCAGGATGGGAATGGGGAGCGGGCGAAGGCGCAGGGTTGCAGTGGCAGCCCCGTGGAGCGCCGCATGCCTGCTGTGGGCTGCGACAGCACCTCCGCTGTCATCACTCCTGCGGTTGCTGCCGCTGCTGCCGAGGCTGCTGGAGCTGCTGCCGGAGCTGGTGACAGCGATGCTACTGCACATGACTCCGACTCTGACTACTGTTTCCACGGCTCTTCCTCCTCATACAGGTATTTCTGCCGCTGGCACGGACACGATGGTTGCTACTACACTGATGACCAAGAGTGCTGCTGATACGAATTCGTCTCAATTTGCACCGCCCCAGTCCTCCTATCATCCTCCTATCACTGCCGATGGCCCGCTGATGCGACTACTGTCGCTGACACCGCGTAGTATGTTCGCCATTGTTGGCACTGTTGGTGTCACTGCTGCCGCCACTATTGTCACTCGCGCTTCGCAGCAAGATTATGGAACTGCACCTGCTCGCAAGTTGGATGCGGATGCTGCTTCGGAGCAGGATATCTAACTAGACACAGACAAACTGGGAGGCACACCACCGATTGGTCAGGCACCAATGCTTTTAGTTGCCCTTGAAGCTGCAGCTGACACAGTTCTGGGAGAGAACCGTATGGCATGGCACCAGCACGAGGGCCGCAGCGAGGGCGATGGCCGCGGCGTCGACACGTCGGTATCCACGGCGAGGCGATGCGGCAGGGTGCATGAATGTTCATGCAGGAAGCCTCGCGGATCGAGCCCAGGCCGCCGTTCGGGACGCTTCCAGCGCCCCAAAATTCCCTGGGCGAGGTGACGACGGGCTGAGCACAGGAGTCCGCCTGGAGGTCAGGAAGCTCCTTGACGTACGCAGGGGCATTCTTGGCCACGATTGCGTTGTTGCTCGCTGGAAGTCGCCTGTATTGTTGGCGACCTGCTCTTGGATGGTGAGTGCTGCGTGTGCGTGCCTGCGCGCGCGTGGATGCACGCTTGGTCGTCCGGACACCCAGGGCCATGCTGTGTGGCAACACTAAACCAAAGTGGAAAGGTGTTGCGCAATGGGTCGTGCCGTGCGTATCACACGTACTAGCCTGGTCACACGGTTCGTGATCATAGTGGCGTAGCTGTTGGCTCGTGCGAGTCGTCCAGAAGTCGAGCCTACGCTCGCAAGCTGTAGATCGGAGTGCGACTCAGGCTGAACGACTACCATAAAGATGCATAATATACAGACTGGCATACGACTTCCGAATGCGCGATGACGAAGACGACGGCATGTAGCGCGCGTAGCGTGAAAGAACACTTCGCCTCCCCATGCAAGACGCAACGAACATGTTACGAAATTCGCTGCTATGCTAATGGGTAGCAGCGGCGTGCCCATCCACATCCACACTACTTTCGTGCCGTAGTGTGACCCACCTTCCCAGCCCAGGTGTTGTGACCGCGGCTGCGTTGGCTGAGCGTGCGCATGGAGATCGGCTTGCAAGTGGCGCCTCGCGCGCACGCTCTCGCGTGCTGCTTGATTGCGTGTGAGCGCGGCGTGGCCCGCTGAAGAGAGGGGCCATGGCCGCACTGCTGCCAAGGTGACGGTGCGAGTTGGTGGTGCACAAGTGGATGCAGACGAGCTCGGTGAGGTTACGGCTCGCGCACGGCACCTGGGAGACATCGCTGGGGGCCGTAGCCGGTCCACCTGGGCCCCAACAGCACCAAGAGAAGGGTGCTGGAGCAGGGGGCCTACTTGGCCGTCATGGGGCTCTCTTGTTCGTTTTGGAACGCTCTTGGGCTGTCTTGGAGGCTTCTTGGACCCTTTGAACCGCTTTCTGGGGCTCTCTTGTCGAGTCTCGGGGCCTTCTTGGCCTCTCCAGGCCGCTTCTGGGAAGCGAATCGGGAGGGTAGCCAAAAGCGTGTCCTGATGGTTGCGGATTGGCCACCCAGAAACGGGAGGTCAGTATGCATGTATGTATGTATGTATGCATGCATGCATGCATGTATGTATGTATGTAGTTGTGTATGTATGTATGCATACATGTATGTCTCTATTTGTATATATAAAAACAGAGTCACATATACGTACAGGTGTACACATCAACGTGTTTGTGTCTATATGCATACATATTTGTATACACATACATACACATACAGGGAAATGCATACATGTGTATAGATGTGTGCATATGCGTCTGTATGTATATAAATATATACATACACAGAACAATTCCCTTTCTATGCTTGCATAGTCTGGGACACTGCGACCCCCCCCGCCCCGGAGGCACCCTGGAGGCCCTCTCAGACGGTCACGTGTGCTTTCCGGGGCTCCTGTGCAGCCCCTGCTGGGCCTAGGCAGCGGGCCCACATCGGTCAGGAAGGCGGCAGGACGGCCCCGCGAGAGCCCACAGGGAACCCAGACACCCACACGCTCGAGGACGACCGAAAGACGACCTCCAAGGGGCATCTCAAACATGAAATTTGGGTTCCCCATGGTTTTTGTATGATGTTTGGAATGCTCCGTTCTTCGATCTTCCGGGCGTACGAGACCGCCCAGGAGGCCAGACAATCGCCCCAAACTTAACCAAGAGGGCATCCAGGCAGTCCAGGAGGAGCCCCAAGACGGCCCAACAGGGCCCAATTATGGCCGGAAGCTGTGGAGGCCATCTGGAGAGACTTGGACCGATCGTTCGGCGACTCGAGGAACTCCTGCACCCTCTACAATGCCTCTTGGAGCCCGCCTGTTCCGTTTTTCGGGCCATCTTACGCCCGAGAAAATGACGCGAGAAGACGCGGCGGGTCCTGAGAGGCAAGCCAGGAGCCCTGGGAGCTTTAGCGAATTTGGGGCCCAGCCCTCTTTATCACATTTTCAAGCTTGAGCATCGGAATTGCTACAGGGGGCCTGAGGACACCCCAACTCGTGCCTTGAAGCACGGTGGCCGATATGTATGTATGTGCGATGTATGGTAAGTATGTATGTAGCTATGGCAAGTATGTAGGTGTGTAAGTAAGTAGGTACGTAAGTACGTATGTATGTATGCATGCAGGTATGTACCTATGTATGTATATATGTACTATGGATGGCAGTTCTGTAGGTATGAATGTATGCTTGTCTGTGCATATCTGTATATACACAAATTACGTGTATATATACATATATACACGTATATATACGTATATATATATACACGTGTACGACTGAGTGGGCGATTCGCGCCATGCCCGTTGGTCTTCGGGGGTCGAAGTCAAAGGGAACATTTGGAGATAACTCGTTGTGGCCTGTTCTGGCATCGTCGTTGTAAGCATGTCTTTCGTCACCCTTCCCTCATGTGTCCTCTTCCTCTTCCTCATTTTCGCCCTGCCCTGATAATTCGCACCCGTGCGCAGCTCTTTGTTTTCCGGAGGCTCATCCTAGGAAACCCTCTTGTAAGCCTCACGACGCTGTTAGGGTTCATCCTAGGAGGGCGGGCCTCCTGTGAACCTCATAGTTCCCCACACTGTCTTGATGCTCGCCTTCCGCCCACTTCCCGTATTCTCTATCTGTTCCTGGGCATCGTCGATCACCCTCCTGAGCGCTTCTGCCAGACGCCGATTCCTCAAGGTCCACGCGTCGGGGCGCCTGCCGACGGGGAGGCCACCGGGGAGAAGAACTCGCCGCTCCCGCGCGTGGCCGACGCGTACAGCAGGGCGGCGCTCCTGGGAGCCGGGGCAGGGCGAGGAGGACCAGGACACCCAAACACTGCCCGAAAAAAAAAGGCAGGTCCACAGGATGCGATCGAGACTTCTTGGGCCCCACACGTGGCACAAACGACAAACGACGCCGGAAGTCTGGGTCTTCTGCCACCCCATGACCTCATCCCTGATGCCCGCTCCCGTCCTTGTCCTTCCTCCCGCTGCCTTCACTTTCTCCTCGTCCTCCTCCACCTCCTCCTCCTCCTCCTCCTCCTCCAGCTCCTCGTCGTCGTCGTCCTTCTCCTCCTCCTCCTCCTCCTCTTTCTCCTCCTCATCCTCCTCCTCCAGCTCCTCGTCGTCGTCGTCGTCCTTCTCCTCCTCCTCCTCCTCCTCCTCCTCCTCTTTCTCCTCCTCCTCCTCCTCCTCCTCCTCCTCCAGCTCCTCGTCGTCGTCGTCCTTCTCCTCCTCGTCGTCGTCCTTCTCCACTCCTCCTCCTCCTTTCCCCAGCGATCTTCCAGGGCATCGTCCTCCTGGGTGCTGGCCGCTGGCAGGCGCAGATGCCTGCAGTGCGCGCCAAAATCTGGCATTGGGGCAGGCGGGCCCCGAGGCAAAGACCCTGGGGCCTCCCCCCAGCGGACGACTCTCTCACCCCGAACCGTTTTCGGACAGCCGTGGGCCCCGAGGGAGCGGGCCCCGAGGAAGCGGGCCCCGAGGAAGCGGGCCCCGAGGAAGAGACCCCGAGGAGGCGGGCCCCTGAGCATGGGGCAAGCGGGCCCCGAGGGAGCGACCCTGGGCCCCCCCCCCAAGGACGACCCTTTCATCCAGAACCGTTCTCTGACGGCCATGGGGACCGCAGAGCCTCGAGAGCTCGAACGCTGCGAAAAACATCCCAGGGCTCGCCTTCCTTTGGAGACCGCTCCCCCCCCGTGGCGAACAGAACTCGTGCGGCCCACAGCGCAATCGGCAGGAGCGGCCCGCGCGACGGCGACCTGCCAGGCAGGTGTGCGCCGGCTCCGGACTGGCTGCCCGTGGCTTGCTCGGCGAGACAGGTCGGGTGCATGACGCGCTTGAGCGTCTGTGGCCTTGTGCGTCCACGCCAGTTCGCGATCGAGGAAAACTCCAGAGTCATGGTCTAGCTCGTCTCTGGGTGCGAACAGCCTTGGCAAAAGCTGACTCGCGGAATGATTCCTTCGTGTGTGGGTGCAGTTTCCTTGGCATCTGAAAGCTCGTCTTGCCTTGCAACTGGCGAACCCAGTGATCAGCCGCAGCGCCCGCTGTGCCGTTGCATTCCTTGCTGCTCCTCCCACCTGTCTCAACCTCCTTCATCCGTCCCACCTCCATCCTCCCCCCTGCCACACCCGTCCTCCTCTTCTTGCTTCCTCCCGCCCCATCTTACAAAGTGCCTCCAGCCCCCCTCACACATCCTACTCACCCCCTCCTACCTCCTCCTCCTCCTCCTGCTCCTCCTGCTCGTCCTGCTCCTCCAACTCCTCCTGCGTTCCTCCTCCTCTTCCTCCTCCACTTCCTCCTTCTTCCTCCTGATATCATCCATTCACCTCATCATCATCCTCTTCCCTGATTCTGCCTCCTTGTTCCTTTCCTCCTGTCCTCCTCCGCTTCGCCTCCCTTCTCCCCTCGCTCATCCTAGCTTACCTCGTGTCCTTCCCATGTCCGCACTCTTCATTCTCTCCCTTTCCCGTCCTCCTCTCCCCGGGGATCGGCGGATCTGGCGCGTGGGCACCAGATCCACGGGTCGGGGAAAGTACGACTGGAATCATGACACGACTGCCATCTAAATTGGCAACCACCCGCGCCGATTCCGTACCGCAACGGGACCCGTCGCTCATCCACGCGCCGAAATCCATGGTTGCGGTTCCCTGACTCTCCTCGTCCGCTCCGCATCCCGCCCGTCCCCCGCCTTGCCCCACTGAGGGGCACCATTCGGGGGGGGCGGGGGCGGGAAGCAGCTCGGGCGGGAAACCTCGACCTGAGCTCGGCAGAAGAGACCGCCGACAGATCGGCGAGTGGCCCGCGATGGCGCATCCTTTCGTTCCCGGGCGGGGCGGGCTATCGGGCCCCTCCTCGGCGACGAATGGGGTGACTGGGGGCCGAGGCGGCCCCCGTGGGCCCCTAACGTTGCCCCTTGGTGTTCGGGCCATTCGGGGATGGGCAGACCGCCCTTTCGTAAAACGTGGCTTAGTGAGGACGACCTGAGGCCCAAACCTGGCGGGCGCAGACCTGGAAAATAGCGGCCACGACGCCCTCTCGAGAACCGAAAACGGACAATTCACTAATCGACGTGTCGCTGTTGGGGGTTCTGTCCACCCCCGAGCCATGCCTCCGGTTTCCTCGGCCGTTCGGGACGGGCTGGGCACCCCCAGGACGCTCTCGGCGAGGCGCAGCCGCTGGAAGGCACCCCGAGGCGGGGAAGCCACCGGGAACCGACGCAGACGTCAGCAGACCTCGGCCGTCGAGCCTATTCCCCCCTGGCATTGCCCCGCCCGTCCCCCTCTCGTCGCCCCCTCCTCCTCCTCCTCGTTTCGAGCAGGGCCGACCGTCCCGGCATTCCTAATAGGCCAACCATGACATGATCCTAGATCCCCGAAGTGTTCAAATACCAAAAGGAACGTAAACGAGACAGTCTCGGCCAGAAATGCTCTAAGAACATCTCGTGCAGACCACATAATTCGGCGGTGGACAGACCTCCCTTTAGTAGACCTCCCCTTAGTGAAAACGGCCTGGTACCGAAACCGACGGAGCCGGACCCGCGAAAGTGACGGCCGCGACGCCCTCTCGCGAACCGAAAACGGCCAATTCCTTAATCGACGTGTCAGGGTAGGAGGTCTGTCCACCCCCGACAAAATGCTCTTAGAACATTCTTTGGGGTGGGCCTTTCGGTAAGCCTGGACGCTTCGCCACTGCTCGATTCGTCCCCCCCCCCCACCCCCTCCGACAGGAGGCTCCTGCCCCTGCCGAGCCCGACGACGCCGAGCCCTGCGCTGCCGACGCTCCCCAGCCTCGTGCTCGCCCTGCGGAGGAATCCGCCGGCCCCCTTCGCGCCCCCCCGGGAGGGGGCCGCAGGGCGCGGAGCCACCCAGCGGGCTGGCCCAAGCCTCGATGACTCGCCATCGCTCGGACGTCCATTCCCTGTGTTTTGTTTGGTTTCGTGCGTGTTTTTTTCGCGAAGTGATCAAGGATGCTCCTCGATGGTCCTCGCCGAGGAAAAAAACGCACACGTCCGAGCGATGCCAAGATGAAGCTTCCCCGCCCCCGGTGGGCTTGTTTTCCAACGCCACCACCATCATTTGAGGGGCAGGGGGTTCTCCGCCTCATCCTCCACGTCCCTCCCCCCTCCAACTGATGGCGGCGGTGGAATACAAGCCCATCCCCCCCCGCCTGCGTGTGCTCATTCTGCTGCTTCTGCTGCTGCTGCTGCGGCTCGTCCTCCTCCGCCTGCTCCTCCGCACCTGGGAGCGGCTGACAGCTGACGACGATCGAATCTTAGATGGGACTCTAGTGCGTTAGAGTTGCGTGCTGCGCCAGTCGGTCCCCGCGTCTTCTCACTGTGCGCCGTTCTGCCTAAGCTTTACGATCACCACCTCTTACTCAAGGCGGTGCGCCTGTGAGGGGGCCGTCGGGAGGCCTCCCGTTCGCTCGGTGGGACGCTGCAGCTCGCGTTGCCACGAGTTGAATGGCGGGGCAGAGCTCTGCGTAGGATCTAATTCGATATTGTAATGTCGATGCGGATATGTGGGTCCTTCAGGCATTCGGTAAACGTAACCGCCTCCTCCTCCGCCTCCTCCGACTCCGCCTACTCCTCCTCTCCCTGAGGTACCAGGCCGAAGGGCAATCTTATTTTTTGGAGGGGGCTCGACATCTCTGCCAGTGAAGCAAAGTTATCATCCTGATCGGCCAATTGCCGTCTTCCCCCCCTCCCCGTTGGATACCTCAATATGGAAGTGCAGTCCCCTACTCCCACCTACCACGGCGAAGGGCGAGTTGAGACACATGGAACTCAAAATAGGCTCGCAGTCGGTCCCCAGGCCCCCCCATGGGGTCCGTCCGCACACATGTTCACAACCGCGTCTGGCCGTGGCGACGAAAGGGGCCCCGCCGAAGGCCAAATGCCGGTGGCCCCGAGGCCCCTCCGCCGCCTGTCACCCCCGCCTCCCTCGGCCTCGCCCTCCGGCTGCCGCCGCGCCACAGCCCGCGGCCCCCCCGCGGGCCGCCCCTCCGGCCGCGGCGCCCGCAGAGCCTGCGGTGCCCCTGGACGGCTTCGGGGCGGCGGGCGCGGGGCCCTCCTCCCGCCGCAGACCTCGGGGTCCGCCGGGTCGGGGCAGAAGCCTGTCGGCGCTGGGTAGTCGAAGCTGGTCCTCGTGCCGTGCACGGTGTTGCACCGGTACACTGTCTCGCGGGGGTCGAGAAGGGGAACGCGGATGGGAAGGGCCAAGAGCGCCGGGGCTGCTCTTCCTCCTCCTCCTCCTCAGCCTCTACCTCCGCCTGCGCCTCCTCCTCATCGTCCTCTAGATGTTCATCCTCCTGCGCCTGCGCCCCCTCTTCCAACTCCTCCGCCTCAACCTCCACCATATATTTATCGTCCTCATTGCGACCTTCCGATCGCTCCTCCTCTTGTTAGTTCGATGTTGCTGCATGTGCGTATTCCAGCTTGTCCTTCTTCTGCTCCTCCTCGACGTCCTCTTCCCCCATCAGATTCATCACCATATCCATCATCATAGGTCCTCCTGCTTCCTCCCAGGGGAGTCGGAGGAGAACTTCAGACTGGGAAATGGACGGGTGTGCACGGTGGGGGACTGGAGGGTGCAGAAAAAAGAGGAAGGGTGACGGCTGGAGGGGGGGAAGGTCTGGGGGGCAGGGAGGCGAGTGTTTCAACGACAGTGTCGACAAATGGGGGAATTAAAAAATCCCATACCGCTGCTTACTCCCAGGACCTCTCAAGGGGCACGTTCCGACCAGAAGTTCGACGGTGAGCCAGCAGTGGTGACGAGGGCTCTCCAGGACTCCAGGACGAGCAGCGTTATGGGTGTTTTCGCTCTGAAACGGGAGCGGAGGGGAGGAGGGGGGGGGAACATCCTTTGTCGACTTTTCTTGGGCCCCAGGGTCCTCAGCTGGCGCATCGCCACTTGAGCTGTTGGCATGCGGAAGGTCCTCCGCGCACTGACAACTAACACTGCAGTGGGATCGTCATCCTCCTCGCCCTTCTTCATGTGCCCACCCCGGGCCCAGCAGAATCTCCGCCTTCAGCGCGACTTTCATACTTAGCCGATTTCGCTCAGAATGCACAAGTGGAGGGAATGAAGATTATGTTGCATTTTCAGGGGGCCTTGTCATTCCCATCGCGCCACTATCCGCGTCGGATTCACGTCGACCTTGCCGAATCCGCGTCGGATCTGTGTAAAATCCACGTCGGTCTTGCGTCGAATCCGCGTCGAACATACGTCGGGCACCAGAAAGGACAGCAGTTCACATGACGAACGAGGCCTCCCGAAGTTGCAACGGAAGGAGGGGGGAGGGACGAAATATGGGAACCCCGCATATATACACTCACGTATCTGGGCCCTGTCCCGAGGGGCTTCGCAGAAACGCCAGTAACTGCCCAGCCAACTCTCTTGGCGACAGGTGTGGAACACACACACACACACACAAACACCCATAAGGTTATACACATACGCGTAAACACCGAACAAACATATACATATATACATATATGTAGATGTATATATGCATGTATGTGTGTTTATTTGCATATGATTATATATGGTTGTACATATATATATATATATATATATATATATATATATTTGTGTATGCGCGTATGCATGGGCCCACGTGGGCACGTACGCACGTACGAAGTACGCAAGGATGTATGTCGGAGGTGAGGGGGTGAAATCGAAGTGGAACGGACAGCCCCCGTACCGGGAAATCGATTTCGGTTTCGTGTTCGTGCGTGCCGCGCGTGCGGGCGAGGCGAAGCTGCGTGGGCGGGCGAGAAAAAGTCTCCTGTGGCTGAGGCGCGGCCGGACCAAATCATTCCCTTCCCGGCGGCCGGTGGCCCGCGGTGTCCCGCCGGTGTCCCGCTGGTGTCCCGTGTGGCTGAGGCGCGGCCGGACCAAATGACTCCCTTCCGGGCGGCCGGTGGCCCGCGGTGTCCCGCCGGTGTCCCGCGGTGTCCCGCGGTGTCCCGCGGTGCCCCGCGGTGTCCCGCCTCGGGCGCTTGCAACCCAGGCCACCGCCACCACGACCCACAACCCAGGCACGAAACACGCCTAGACAAAATCGAGAGGCAGGCACCCTACCTCCCAGAGAGGCGCAACGGGCACAGTTGAACAGGCCGTCGACGGGGCGGGCGGCGGGGGCGGCAGGGAGCGGCGGGGCGGGTGCACGCACGCCCCCGCGCGCACTCCCCCAGCCAGGCGGGGGCCCAACGCCAGCAGCACCAGCACACGCACGGAGGAGCAAGCAGCAGGAGGACCGAGGGGGCGGGCCGGGAGAAAGGCAGGGGGAAGAGGGAAAGGCAGGGGCGGGAAAAACCGAGGACCCAACAACGCCCACCCCGCAGGGAAGGGGCAGCGGCAGAGGCAGGGAGACGGAAGACAGCAAGCGACAGGAGAGGCAAGGGAACAAAGAGACACGCACTAGAGCACACGCGCGAGAGATGAGAGGGGGCGGTCACACTCAGACGACATCACTTCACGAGGCAGCCCACCCAATACACAGTGCTCAGAACTGTCGTGCAACAATCAAATCACGCATGGCGTCAAGGATCTGCTCGGTGTCCCACTTACTCTCCGCGCATGTAATGGACGCGAGTGCACAACGGGAGGCAGATCTTCGTTCACCCGTGAGATACCGAGGTACACTCCGACGACATCACTTCACGTGGCAGCCCGCACAATACGCCGTGCCCTGAACTGTCGTGCAACACCAGTATACCGACGAGCCAGTAGACGCAATCGGGCCACGAAGACCTGGGACGAGGGGACCTGTGTCAAGCGCCGATGATGGGCGTGTGTCTTAAGAAACGCATCGATGAAGGCAGCACAGGCAACGTCGCGGTCGAGCCCCCAAGAAGGTCCCATCATACATAGACAGGTAAGCCAGGTATCTCGGTGCTGCCACATCTCCCTCCACGGCGTGGGTAAAACTTCCAACCCAGGGAGACGGCGCAGTCCCAGGTCACGGAATCGATCACAGATTTTGTAGTGGTGAAGGTCATCGGGGGCCACACACCCAAAGCAGCACCCACGGTCATTCGCATGAAAACGTGCCGAAGTACAAACGCCCCTGGACAGTACACGGAGAACGTTGGTTGCCAGATGGGTGCACGTGGCACGCTCCACTGCGCGCAATCTAGTCCGCAGACGAAACATATCCTCGAGAGATGCTGCAACTAACCACCTCGATATCCGTACACTCAGACACAACAGTGGAGTGGCAGCCATACGAACCGACCGTAAGTGCCGATGGACCTTGGCCTGGATAAGCCTGGACCTTGGCCTGGCCCTGGCCATGATTGTGTCCCGATGATGATGATGTTGATGATGATGAGGTTGATGATGATTATGGCGTCCCGATGATGACGATGATTATTCTGATTGTGATGATGATGATGTTGTTGATGATGATGGCGTCCCGATGGTGATGATGATGATGATGATGATGATGTTGATGCTGATGTTTGTAATGATGATGATGGTGCCCCGGTGATGACGATGATGATGATGCTGATGATGATGTTGATGATGCTGATGATGATGATGACGATGTCGATGATCAAGATGAGATGATGATGATGATGGTGTCCCGATGATGATGATGATGATGATGATGATAACGATGATGATAACGATGGTGATCATGATGGTGTCCCGATGATGACGCTGCTGATGATGATGATGATGATGACGATGACTGTGTCCCGATGCTGCTGATGATGATGATGATGTTGATGATGATGATTGTGATGATGGTGATGATGATGATGATGATGATGATGGTGGTGTCCCGATGATGTTGATGACCGTGATGATGATGATGATGTTTGTGTTGATGATGAGGACGGTGTCCCGATTATGCTGATGTTGGTGATGATGATGCTGATGCTGATGTTGATGTTGATGATGATGATGACGTTGATTGTGAGAGCGGTTGTGATATCGATAGTGAGATCGATAGTGAGACCGACTGTGATATCGATTGTGAAGTCGATTGTGAGATCGATTGTGAGATCGATAGTCAGATCAATTGTGAGATAGATCGAGTGAGATCGATTGTGAGATCGATCGAGGGAGATCGATCGAGCGAGACCGATACTGAGATCGATAGTGAGACCGATCGAGTGAGACGTTGGTTCCACCCCCCCCGAACCTCCTTATCACCCGAAGTGTGGTCGTATAGGTATGCATGCATGCATGCATGCATGCATGCATGCATGTATGTATGTATGTATGTATGTACTCCGGATCCCTTCATAATCGTCCCTCGGGTTCAACTTTTGAGGCGCCTTTTGGGGAGGAGGCACGGGGGTCCGGTTCATTAAGGCGCTTTCTTGAAGCCGACGTTGGGGGGGGTCGGGTTTGCTAGGGCGCCTTTTGCGCATGCAATCTCACACCACCCTTACGCACCATTGCTTTTAGAACCATGTGGGTTTCCGACATACGTGGGGCTCCTCGCACTTTCTGGCTTGCTTTGTTGGGGGTTGGGCCTTTATCGTTCCTGGGTTCCTTGCGCCTCGCAAGTACTCTGCGCGGGGAAATGGATACTAGTAGCCCTTGCGCCAATCACGTTACTCAACAATGCGGTCCAACCTCTACATTGGCAACAGCGTCTACTTATCTTCACCGTTATCCCCGACGTTCCCACTGTCATGAACGATCGCGCTCGCAATGATTCCTGGGGGGGTCTGGAATACTAAGGTGCCCTCTGCGGGGAGGGGGTCCAGAAAATTATGTCGTGAAGGAAGCGGGGGTCTGTTTTTGTTAGGGGGGGTCGATTCTTGAGGGATCCAAAGCTTAGTGGGCCCTGGAAACGACAGGGCGTTTTTTTTACTGGTTCCGTTTTGCCGTTTTTTTGCCGGCTCCGACGCCGTTTCTTTACCGGTTCCGTCACCGTGTTTTGACCGGTTCTGGCTCCGGTTCCAATCCTGGAGCCGTTTTTGGCCGTTTCCGGTCGCCGTTTTTTTGCGGTTTCCATGTTCAAGGGACATGTTTTGGGAAACGGTGAAAAACGGCCCTGCCGTTTCTGGGGCTCACAAAGAGCCAGAGTACGTAATTATGTATGTATATGTGTGTGCATGCATGCGTGCATGCACGTATGAGTGTACGTATGCATGCATGCATGCATTCATGTTTATATATGTATGTATATACACATGCATCTATGGATGCGTGTTTGTGTGTAGGTAAATAGGTACGCATGTATGCATACACATATATATATATATATGTATTCATGTACGTACGTACGTATGCGTGTATGTATATACGCAACCACGTGTGCCTGCCTGTATGTTTATCTGTCTATCTGCCTGCATGGACGTATGTACGTATGTACGTACGTATATGTGTGTATGTATGCGTGTATGTGTATGTATGTATGCATGTATGAATGAACGAACGAATGAATGCATGAATGTGTGAATGCATGCATGCATGCATGCATGCATGCATGCATGCATGCATGAATGTATGTATGTATGTATGTATGTATGTATGTATGTATGTTTGTATGTGTGTGTATGTGTGTATGTACACATATATGTCTATATACATATACATATATATATATGTATGACACATGTATGTATGTAGGTAGGTAGGTCTGTATGTACGGACATGCGTAAAACTATTGTGGAATCGAAGACCACCGATACCGCTGCTCCCCGGATCTCTCCCGGGGTGCTATCTGACCCGGGCTTCGGGGCGGCTCCAGCTGTGGCGACGAGGGCCTCGAAGGAGCCCCTCCAATGGGGAAAACGAGTGATGGGGTAGCGGTGTCGGTACCTCTTCCTCGTCTCACCATACTATAATGATCATCGATTCGCCGGCAAAACGGGCCAAATGCGAGCTAAGAACTCCGGCAACTGGTTAACAATATTTCCAGTTCGCGTGCGCGGGGCCGCCCCCAGGGGTCCCTGGACGGAAAAACAACCCGGCCAGGTCCTGGCCAGGTCCCGCGCAGGTCCCGAGCAGGCCCCAGCAAGCTCCCAAGAGCGCTTCAAGTGGTCTCCAAGAGAGCTCAACATGGTCCGAGACGGTCCAAGAGCAATCCAAGACGCCACAGATAATTTGTGATTTTCCAAAACAGTTTTTGATTTTTGTGTGGCGTGCTCGCCTTTTCGGATTACAGGGTCTGTCAGACGGCCCAAGAGGCTTCAAGGATCGCCCAAACACGGCCCGAAAGGCCTCGAATAGCACCCAAAACGGCCTCAAAGGGCCCCAAGACAGCCCCAGAGGCCTCCAAGATGGCAGAAGAGGCTCCTAAAACGGCTCCAAGAGCGGGCCCAGACGAACGGACATTTCGAGCTCTCTGCCCCAAGAGGCGCCAATGAAACCCCCAGAGGCCCCAAGAGCAACCCAAGAGGCCACAAGAGGCCCGACAGGGTGCTAGACACATCTCCAAAGATCTCCACGAAGGCCGTCCTGCCTACCCCTCCGTTCTCCCTGGGCACGAGCACGCAACCACGCAGCCACAGTGATGCGAAATGGGCCGGCGGAATGAGCGAAACGATTAAACAAAAGTACCTCTCACGCTGGGGAGAGGACCTGAGTTAGGAGGGCCGGATTCATTAGGGATATGGGGGTCTTTGCTGCAGGTCGTTCAAACCAAAACGCCCAAATTTCCCTGATCCTGATGCGAAGACGGGGATCTCAGTGAGGCCAAGTCTTCATCGCGCTACTGGTGTCAGAGTTTTTGCTCTCGCGGTAGTGGGCACGCTTGCTCCTGGCTTCGAGAGAGAGGCCGCGTCCTGCTCCAGGTCCACCTCGTCGTGGACCCGCAGCAGCTCCGCCGCGACGTCGCCCGCGGTGGGCACGGCGTGCGACTTCCGAAGCTGCAGGCGCTCCTCCGGAGAGGGAGGAGGAGGGCTGAGGAGGCAGATTGTGAAGGGGCCCCAGGACACACACATCAATACACACAAATAACAATATTCCCCACATTTTCCAATGTTTTCTGGGTTTCTGTCTTCCCACCCACTTCCAATATTCTCCTATATTTTCCTGGGAATCGAAGATGAATTGTGTCTGTGTTTTTTTCCCTCCTGAGATTAGGACCTCGAAGATAGAAGAACAACAAACGCCACAAGCATAAACTGCCGCTGGTCCGCACGGTTTCCTTGGATCAGCGCTGACCCCCCTCCCTGGCGCGCTCCACACGCCAGGGGCGACGCCGGAGGCGCCGCCAACAGGGCTCAGCGCAGATGCAAGACGTCCGCGCGGACGACCGACAGTTTATGTTTATGTCGGCTTCGGTCTCGGAGAGGAGAAAGCAGTCTAGTCCGCTCCCAAAAGCCCGAGTATCCAAGAATGCCGCAACTCTAGACTTCGGAGCGTCGACTTCGCGACAGTCTAGGGCGCGTTCCTTTTTTTGGGCGACGATGGGCATTATACCGGGGGGGGGGGCAAGGAAGGGTATAATGTAACGCCCTCCCCCCCCCCTATGGTCTGGCACCACAGCCGCGCCGGCGCGCACGACAACAGGGAGCGACGAGCGACCGGCGACGAGCGACGACGACGACGACGACGCGAGCAACATGTAGGTGGCGACCTGCCCCACAGCGCCTGTGTACACCAGTGCTCGGCTCGCGTGCACCACAGCGCGCGTGTACACCACAGCGCCTGCGTACACCGCAACAGCCGTTTGCGACGCAGCGCCTGTGTACACCACAGTGCCTGCGTGCACCACAACGCTGGTGTACACCACAACGAATGTGCAACACCGCAGCATATGTAACAAAGCGCCTATGTACACCACAGTGTGTGCGTGCACCGCCGCTCCCGCGCACACCAGAGCGCCTGTCTACACCACAGCACCCGCGTGCACGCAGCGCACAGGGCAGGTATAACGAGTGTAGAATGTAGGTGATGAGTAGAACGCGACGTTATTCTCTCCTCCCTCCTCCGCCACCCCCACCTCCTCCACCTCCTCCTCCTCCTCCTCCTACTCTGTTGTTTTTCTGGGGCCGATGGCAGGTGATTGACACCACGACAAGATGGAGGCGAAATGAAAAGTGATAGGTCCAGCAGACACGGCGCAGCAGCAGCCATCAGGAGCCGTCGACCTGGAGCCCTCATGAAAATGAACTCTGCCTATTAAACTCCGTCGTAAACGGTGCCAGCGTATGCGGGCAACATTGACGACGCTGCAAGTGCATACTCGGGGGGTACTGTTTTCAAAGTGAGCGGACATTAGAAACATACATAGGAATTGAGCGTCAGCGTGGATAAGAAGAGCCTTCACCCCCGTGGGCACGTGTACTGACACAGCCGAACAGCTCACTTCGCGAGCTGCACTGGGCGGTATGTTTCCGAAGAGCGAGCGTGCACTTAGCGGGGCATCTAGCCCAGCATCCATTCCCCGCCCAGCATTTCGCCTAAGCCATAGCGCGCACACAGGCAGCTCCTGGAGGGGGGGGAGAAAACAGAGAAGCAATTTAGACCAGACTTGACTGCCCTCAGCTCCAGGAAGAATGCGCACGATTGTGAATCATACGGTCTGAGCTGGTGGTGGGTGCATCACGGTATGGGTCGAGAGGGGCGTGGAACGTCGCAAGGGCGTCGGTGGCCTTCCCCCGGCGTCGGTAATAAGGTCGAGCCCCTGTCGGAGCCAAGTCTCTTCGGTGACTGACCATTGCAGTGGTCGGGCCCCCAGGAGATCCAAGGAGGCCGCGCAAGAGTGCGAGGGAACCCCAAGTTCCTTGGCAGAGACAGGCCATCTTGCCCACCATGCGCCTCCGGGGGGGGATGAGACCCTGGCCGCGACCGAGCCAAAAATAGCGCCGCCAAGCTTCGTGCACAACAGACGGCCCCAGGACCTTGCAAACCAGATACAGCCCCCCTGCGCGAGCGGATGGCGCCCCCTGGGGGCGGCACATGAATCCCAAGAAGCACTGTGGGTTTCCTAGAGGGGACCCCGAGGGCGCATCGGTGAATCGTTAACTTCTGAACGTGTTCTTGCTGCACCAACTTTTGGACGAATTGGAGGTACCGAAAGTTGGGTCGGCGAACTGCGCGCTGCCCTGGGCGCGGGTGCGGGCTAGGGCCCGCGAGCGGGACAACGCGCACAGCAGCGGCCCGAGCGGGTCGCCCAGATCGACGCCTCGGTCCACGTGGATCGGCTGCCAAGACGGCAACGCCACTGTGGGCGGCCCCCGGTGCACCCACGAAGTCCACGGCAGAAGAGCCGGGAGCTGCTCGGCGACGGCGGCGCGAATGCACGACCACTCTAAGGGGGGGGGCGCGGTCTCCAGGACCACGCCAATTACAGCCAACGAACGGGTCGCCATCAGGGCGGCCGCGGCCGCCCTCCAGGAGGTCATCGAGCACGACGCGCCAGTGGACAAGAGCTTCTGTGCCCGCCGGCACGCCGACCCCGAGCTGCCGCGCTGCTAAGCATGGCCTGGATCGTCTCCTGTTGCAGCATCTCGACGACTGCCCGGCGCCGGAGCTCCCCCGCCCTGATTGGGCCTGGGGCGACGCCCCTCTTCTTGCGGAGGAGCGCCAACCGGCTCTCCGAGATCCAGCGCGCCTCGGCGCAAAGACGGCCGCTGGTCGCCTCCCCCGAGAAGCGACGGCGGTAACTCGCGGCAGCCGGGAGGCAGCCCGGCGGCCGCGGCAAGCGGACAGCTCCCGGAGATGCTTCGGGGCGCCCCTGGCCCAGGCAACCGGCCATCAGCGCCCTGCCCCAGGAGGCCTGCTCCTCGGGCTGAACCGTGGCCACCCAGTGTGAAGGGAACTCACGGCCTTGAAGTGAGCTCCTGCGCGGGCCAAGTGCCGCGCCCGCCGCGCTCGGGCGGCCGCGTACTCCGCCGCCCGGAGGCCTCGCGCGGCCGCCGCGGCCCGGGCTCGCGCCCGCCCCCCTGCCCGCGCGAGCGGCTCGTCCTAAGGGCTGGCGCTCCACATGCAGGGCGAGGCGCTCGGGGAGCTCGACCTCCAAGTTGCGGCCCCGCGGCGGCAGGCCCAGCAGCAACTTGCTCCAGGATTGCTCGGGATCGCGCGCCCCAGCGCCCCCGTTCGCCATCCCTTCCAGGAGCCCAGCAAGCGCCGCGCCCTAACACGGGCGAGATAGGCGCCGCGGGCCTCCGCCGTCTCGAGTTCCAGCGGCGGCGGGGCGGCCTGCACGGCGCCACGGCTGCGCCGCGCCATGTCCAGCTCACGGGGCGGTCGAGCAGGCTGCGCGCAGCTGCTGATGGCGCATGCGCACGCGGCCAGGCCGCTGCCGATGCCGCCGCGGCTGAGACCGCGGAGCAGGGCGCATCCGCTGGCTGCGAGGGGGGGCCCGCCGCGTCTGGCCGAGCGCCGAGCCGCGAGCCGTCGCCCCCTGAGAACGCATGGCAAAATGGGCAGCCGAGCGCGGGCGGCGGCGGAAGCGGCCTGCACCGCGTCGGCGGCGGCGGCAACGCGACCAGGAGCAGGAGAGGCACCGCGCGCAGCCAGCGTCTGCGGCTCAGGCCCGGCTGCTGCCTCACTGGCAGGCCCGAGGCGCCGAACCCCGCCAATGCGGACGCCGCGCCACGGGCTCCGCAAACGACGGTCGCGTGGAGGCAGCGCTTGCCGTAGCCGCAGTGCCAGGCCCGCTAGGCAGCCGCTCCTCCACCACGGGCTCGGCAGCGGGCGCCCCTGGGGCGGCCCGAGCAACATCGAGAGCCCCGCGACGCATCCGCGCCAAGCACTCGGGCCATCCCAGGCCCCGCGGGCGTCACTCTGCCGGGAGCGCTGACAGCAGCGAGCGAGGCGCCCGGTATCGACTGCGCGAGGGCGGCGCCATCAAGCGCCACCAAGTGCCGCCGCGGCGAGGCGTGCACCTCCGCGACGGCAACGTCCGCTGGCAGGCCGCCAGGCGCGCTGGCTGGGCGAACAGAAGGGGCCCCTCCTCGATCCGTGGACCGGGAGCGGCCGCCGTCCTCCAAAGCCACCGCGGAAGGGAGAAGACCAGCGCGCAGCTCTCTCGCTTGCGGACGCCGCGCGCCGCGGGCTGCCATCCAGCGCGGCCGCAGGGCGCGAGTCGCGTGGCGGAGGAACCAGGCCCTCCCCAAGTGGGGCGCCTGCAGCAGGCACCGCTGCATCGGCCGGCGCCGCAACCGACGCGCCTCCTGGCAGCGCCGAACCGCCGCCCGAGCTGGGCGCCGCCGCCGCGCCATCTGCAAGCCCAGCAAGCCCTGCGCCACCTGGCGCCAGCAACGCGCCTCTGAGCTGCTTCATCAAGGCCCCAGCGAACCCTGCGGTTGCGGCGGCCGTGCCAGCGGTGTCGCGGGCGGCCGCGGTCGCGGCCTCCGCCTGCACTGCCTGCAATGTTTGCTGCGCCGCGTACTGGTCTGCGATGGCCTGCAGGCGCGTGTTTCAGCCTCCTCCTCGGCCGCCGCGCGTGCAGCCTCGGCCGCGGCGCGCGCGGCATCCGCTACCTCCTGCGCCTTCCGCTTAGCGTCGTCGCGCGAGCCGTGCGCACCGCCTCCCGCATGCCCGCGACCTGCGCCTCCAGCCCCTCCACGAGCGTCGCGAAGTCCGGGGATGTCCGCAGCGCTGAGAGGTGCGTGCCCGGATGCTTCGCTGGCGCAGGGACCGCTGGCGCCGACGCTGGTGGAGCACGGGTTGCGGCGTCCTGCAGTGCCGGCCGCGGCGGGGCCGGCGCAGCGGCCGCGGCCTGAAGCGCGCCCGTGAGCCCAGGGCGCCCGCGTTGCTGGCCCCAGAGGCGCCGTGCTCTGGGGCACGCGCACAGATGGCGCCTTTCGAGGGGCCTGCCGGCCACAGCCACGGCAAGCAGTGCGCCAGGCGAAGTCGCCGACGGCGCCGCAGGCGCAGCTCCAGAGCGGCTCGCGAGCCCCCCTGGGCTCGCCAGCTGCGCCACCGCGTCGCTGCCCAGGCTGTCGCTGTTGCGAGCCCCCGCCAGCAGGACGAAAGGCCGCCCGGCACGCCTCCGGCAGCTCCCCCTGCTGCTTCAGCGGCCGCCGAAGCGCGTCCCATGGCGGCTGGGCGGCTCCCCCGCGCCCGCCGCCACGGCCAGCTGGCATCGGCTGCGGCCCGGGCGGCGCCAGCAGCGCGCGCGGATTACCCTGCGCGCAGGCTGGGGTAACCCTCGAAAGCCAACACCGGCGTCGAAACTGTTAACGCAGTTATGTGAAGGGGCCCCAGAACACACAAATAAATACACACAAATAAAAATATGCCCAAGATTTTCCCATATTTTCTGGGTTTTTGTCTTCCCCCCCTTCCCATATTTTCACATATTTTCTGGGGGATCGACGATTAATTGTGTCTGTGTGTTTCTTTCCCTCCTGATTATGGCTTGGGCCCCTGACTTGAGGAAGAATGGGCTGCAGAACATCCACGGCGGCCCGAGAGAGGCCCCCAAGACCATCCCAAGAACCCCCAAGAGGGCCCCCTTTAAGAGGGAGAGGATGGTCCAGGAGAGGGTCCAGTCGTGCCCCGAGACGGCCAGGGGGGGGCCCCCTGGACGGCAGGGATAACAAAGCCCAAGAGTGCCGCCGGTTCCGGGGAGCCCGCACCACCAAGATGGCCTCCCAAGACCCCAACCACCAAGAGGCACTTCGAGGGCCCCCAATGCAAGCAGGAGCATTGCAATGTCAAGGCGCCACAAAACCGCCTGTTTGGTCTCCAAGAGGCCCGCGAGAAGCCTGCCCAACAGACGCGGAGGAGGAGGAACACGAATCAGCAACAAGTAAACGCAGGCAACACGTCGGGGAGTGCAAAACAATACATACGAAACCGAAACCGCGCGGAGGGCCAGGATGGCGCAAGCCTCCTGGGTCAAGAACGACGCAGTCAATGAAAATTGCCCAACAACTCAATCAACAGACCAAAACCTCCGCAACCTGTATCGGAATAGTTGCATATTTCTGTAACGATCCAGAACACGTGACGATATACCTCAATTTCCTCCCTGCTCCCACAAGACGACATAACAACACAAAACGTAGAATTTAGCTATATCGAAGGCGCTCCCAGCGGACGCAGTGGCACCGTCATGAAAATAGGGAGCAGCTTCATTCAATTACTCGACGCGGAGATCTGGGTATGAGCGGGCTGAGTCTAAGGAATCCTCCCTCTTCCCTCCTCCTCCCTGGCAAATGTCCCCCTCCCTGGCGTCTCCTCCTTGGGGTGCCCACATGCAAGATACGCTTGTTTTGTTGCGTCGACCATGGGGCTCTCAAAAAACAAGCCTGGGCCACCAAACAGGCAAACCGCTCGAGACATCCCCGCAATCTGGGCGCGACCAGAAGAGTAAGATACCCCTTGCTCCCCCCCCCCCCCCTTGGGTGTGCGAAAACCAGCGCATCACCTGGGACATCCTCAACATCTGCTCCGAGAGCGGACGATGTTGGGCACGCAAACGAGCAAACCGCTCAAGACATGCCCGCGACCTGGGCGCAAACTGAGATGTGAGATACCCCCAGGCGCCCCCCCCTAGGGTGTGCTGAAACCAACGTCATCATCAGCATCATCACCATCATCAGCATCAGGGTCATCATAATCATCAGCAGCATCATCAGCAGCATCATGTCGCCATCATCAGATCACAAACATTCAACGACAACGACAACAACGACAACAGCAACGACAACAACAACCACACCATCATCACCAGCATCTGTTTCAGCAGCAGCCTCATCAACATCATCGGAGTGAGGAGGAGAGTGGTGGCCAAGTCGTATCCTTCCCGGCGAGGTCTAGGTAATAACAAGAATCCCACCCTTAGGAGATGTGAAAGTAAGCATATGATGAAACACTCATGCACGCGTTTTCGATCAATTCTCAATGGTTCTTCCTCCCAGGAGGGGCAGTCCTTCTTCTCCTGCCACAGCGTGCCGTACCACAGAAAGAAGAAGCCCTCCGAAGGGTGCGCGAGGAACTGCGACGTAATGTCAATCGAAAGGCCGTCCGCCGCGCTGCTCAGCGCCTGGGGGTATCTCTTCGGGCAGTATGTCGGGTCCCTGCTTTTGAATCCCTAAGTGCGGAAAGGCTCGATTGTCCAGTTGCGGGCCACTGGTTTCCTCTATCATCCTTCCTCCTTCCCTCACTCTCCTCTCGTCCTCCCTGCTCCAGGGCTCCCGTTGGCAATCACGCTGCCAAGTAGATCACTCGCAGGTCTTACTCGTCCTCGTTTGCGCTCAGCTCTTGGAGGCAACCTTCAAGGCTCACGAGGGTCTCGGGGATTAAGGAGTTAGGCCTTAGGGGTTCGAAGTTCCCTCACAACGCGTCGCTGCGGTTGGCGCGTCTCGCTTATCAAACTGCAGCACCGCGGCGGGGGACGTGCAATGCGACCGGCGCATGATGGGACCGCTGTGCACGAGGAGTGGCTGGGGGCGTGGCGTGAGACACTGAATGCCGCAGACTCGGCGGTTGCGCAAGTCGCTGGGGCCTGGCAAGGCGAGCTGCGAGTCGTGAGACCTGCAATGCTGCACGTAGCCACTCGCCGATGAACAGGCGATACCGGTGTTGCGCCGATCATCCGGGTTTTCCGCTTGGGGGGGAACTGCCGGCCGCTACTTAACCGCATTTGCTCGCCTTCTGCAGCCCCACTTGTGCCCGCGCTCACCAGTGCTGCCTACCACCTTTGGGCCTTGCACCCTGGGGTGCTATGGGTCGGGATTGCTGAAAGTGGCCCTGGCCCAAGATGCCACAATCCATTCGCCTCATCTTGGGGCCACTGTGGCCCCCTGGGCCTCTCGAGGGGCTCTCTTGGCCGTGGGGTGCACCTCTGGCCAGGGGCACTCCTAGCCACATCCGGATGGAGGGGGGGAGGCACGCTGGCCTGGCAGCCAGGGGTATCGCCAGGCCCTGCAAGAAAACGGTCTCGACGAAAGGGGGGAAATCTTCGATGTCGTCGTGCTGTCCGCTGCAGGCCTCTCGGCAGGCTGGTGAGACGCTGAGCACGCCCTAAAACAGGGCTAGGATCGGGATACATCACTCCAGAGCGTTCCGGAGCGCTCGCAGAGCGTTCCGGAACGCTCTGGAGCGGCCGCGGCGCCCAATACATCCTCCAAGCCCGCCGATCCTCAGACTTCGAGTTATCCCGATCCGATTTTGTCCCGATCTTCGCGTCGTTTTAGACGTCGAGCACGCCTGCTCGCCGGAGCGCCCGCGCGCGGCGCAGCCCGAGGCAAGAGAATCGGCCTGCACGGGAGGTGCGAGGGCCCACACAGAGAACGCCCAACAGAAGGTGTCCCCAAGAGAGGCCCCGCGTGGCCCTTGAGGTGGGCGGCGAGCCCGGGAGGAGGAGGGGGAGGAGGAGGAGGGGGAGGAGGAGGAGGAGGAGGAGGAGGAGGAGGAGGAGGAGGAGGAGGAGGAGGAGGAGGAGGAGGAGGAGGAGGGGCCGGGCCTTCTCATGAAGGAAGGCGGGGCTTCTCACAGGCCCCCGCGCTTTCTGAGGAGGCGCTCCTGACTTCGGAGAACGGGTGGGGAGACTGCTCAGGAAGCGCGAGAACTTCTGAGAACCCCCACCGCTTTCTGCGAGGGGCCCGCCCACTCCCACTTCACCCACCCACCCCCCCTCCCGGCTCTCCGCCGACCGCGGGGCTCCCGAAGAGATGCCCAAAAGACCTCCAGAGCGGCACTGCCGAGCAAGGAAAAATGGAAACATGGAGACGCTTAAACAGTTCTACGTGTTCTGCTTACTGACTACCTACCAGACCACCCCAACCCAACCCGAAGACCCGAATTTCGGGTTGGGGGGGGTAAGGGTTCCACACGTGTTTTTTCGATGTTTCCCGACCCCCCCCCCACTGGAAATCGAGGTTAAATCTGAGCCTTCGGGTTGGGTTGGGGTGGTTTGGTGGGTGGTGAATGGAAACGCTTAAACAGTTCTACGCGTTTTGCTTACGGGCCTGTGCGCATCAATCTTCAACATGCGCCGCAGGCCAAATAGGATGAAGGCCCGAGCGCCCAGCCCCCCCCAAACTCAAGCAGCCCACGACCGCCACACGAGGGGTCCCGGGCGACCCAGAAACCCACACTCAGGGCTACAGCCTGTTTCGACCGAGCCTCTTCGGGAGAGTTCGGCAGCACCATCGCGTCCCAAGACGGCCCCTGGACACTCAAGGCCTCACATAAATTGCCAGGGTGACCTCAAGAAGTCCACGCCTCAATGGACACTGGAAACAACTAGACTATTTGTGTACCGGTTCCGTTGACATTTTTTTACTGGCTCCGTCGCCGATTGTGTTGCCGGCTCCGTCGCAAATGCTTGATTCCGGTTCCAGTTCCGGTTCAAATTCCAGAGCCGTTTTTGTTGCCGTTTCCGGTCGCCGTTTTTGTTACCGCTTCCATCTTCAAGAAAAACTGTTTGTTCGAAAGCGGTGAAAAAAAACGATCTGCAAAGGTTTACGCTGACTCTCTGACAGCACCCCCTAGAAGGCAAAACAGAAGCCATGCAAACCTTACAACCGCGGCACGAAATGGCATTTCGCAGCCCTGCCTCTCGACCGCTCCGCGGCGCATCTGCAGAACCAAGTCGTTCTCTCTCCCTACGCCATGCTCCCTGGATTCGTCCCATGCGCGTGGGACGGCAACGATATTGCCAACCTGTGTATCCGAGCCAGCAGTAGAGCAGGGCGGAATCGAATTGATCGTACTGTCGCGAGTGATACGCACATCGCACATCAGGCGGAGGAGGCGGAAAGGGACGAGGACGACGAGAAGGGGAGGCCTTAATGATGGGCCACCCCAATGTGTTGGGCATGAGCTTGGCGCTCTCGGCAAATTCGCAGTGGAAGCAGTTTTCCACAATGGAGACGTATGCCTTCCAGGGGTGGAGAGGCGAGAGGGTGCGGCGTGGGCGGGAAGGGGCGGATGGCAAAGGGAACAGGCAGACGGGAGGGAAGGGGGGGCGAGGAGGGGAACTCTGGATGGGGAATTTATCAAGAGGAGGGCGATTAACCTTCCGACTGAGCTTGCCCAATCCCGCCCCCCCCATCCTGCTTCCCCTCCTCCATCCGCCTCCTCTTCCTACAACCCCCCCTCCACCCGTTCCGACAACACGCACCCAACCGTTCAAGCGGAATCAAGCGAGGGGGCGATTATCGTCCCGTCCAGAGTACGGTCATGATGGTACAATGTGCTGCGAGTGCCTCGAATCGTGGGCCAACGGGTGTGGGATATCGGGGGGGGGGCGGGAGAACGGGGGGGAGGAGAAACGGGACGGGGGAGAACGGGTGGCAGGGACAGCCACGGATGACATCTGCAGTGCTGGACCCGTCGCGTACTGGAGTGGGAATAGCATACTACATGGAAGCATGCATCGCGCAGATTGGCTGGGCAAAAATACGCTCTGTACCGGCTGGCCTGCACAACATGCACACCTTCGGCAACATCTACAGACTCTACGCGCTCCGTGCAAAATTATTATTTCTCCCGCAATCTTCCTTCTCGACACAATCGAAACTCCATATACTATATACTTGTCGCGCACTCTATGCGCCCTGCTGTCTCTTTTTTTTTCTCTCCCTCTCTCTCTCTCTCTAACTGTCTCTCATTATTTCTCTGCATGGCGGGACACCGGGAACCGGAGACCCGGCCCACCCAACTCGGCGGCGCAACAACCGTAAACCAGAACCAAGAAACATGAACCCGACCGCCTACCCGAATTGTAAGCCAAATTTCACCGACGTTTGCCAATATTCCAAAAGACCCCTCCAGTGCATGCATTGATTCCGAAATATTAGCCTGGCAAATAATCCAACCCGTCATAAACGCGAGGCGAGTATAAAATGGACTTCAACGCATACGCACTACAAATTACTGTCCGAAGTCCGCGGGTGCCTGGCATTCGATGGATCACCGCTCGAAGCCCGTGGGTGTCTGGCATGACGGGTTCTGAACATCTGCGGTGGCGCCCTTTGATGCGTGCGCCGATGTGGGCGGAAAGACGCCACATGGTCGCCCCGCTGGGGCCATAGATGGAGCCTCCAATGGGGGCAGAGGACGTCTGAGGTGTGCGCCGATATGACCGAGGGACGCTATGTGGTCACCCCCGCTGGAGCCATAGGTGGAGCCTTCCATCGGGGCAGAACGCGTGTGACGGGTGGGCCGAACTTGTCGGGGGGACGCCATGTTGTCATCCCCGCTGATGCCCTAGGTTGAGCCTCCTACGGGGGGCATGAAGCGTGTGAGGGGCGCGCCGAAATTGGCGAGCGGACGTCATGGGGTCAGCCCCGCTGGGACCATAGGTGGGGCTTTGAATTGAGGGCAGAAAGCATGTGAGCGGTGCGCCGAAATGGGCGGGGGACGCCATGTGGTCACCACCGGCTGGGACTATAGGTGGAGCCTTCAGTTGAGGGCAGGTCATGTGTGAGGGCTGCGCCAAAGTGGGCGGAGAGACGCTCGGAGGTCACCCCCGCTGGGACCTCAGGCTCACAGGTGGAGCCTCCCATGGGGGTATGAAGCGCGCTCGAGTGAAGCGCCGGGGTGGCTGGGGGAACGCCATGTGGTCACCCCTTCTGGGGCCATAGGTGGAGCCTCCTACGGGGGGCAGTCAACGTGTTAGGGGTGGACCGAAATGGGCGGGGGGGCGCCATGTGGCCACCCATGCTGGGGCCATAGATGGCGCTCCCTGGTGCGTCTGGCGCCGACGGGGTGCAGCAACAGGAGTGAAAGCGAAAGCGAATGCGAGGAGGGAAGAGGACAATGGGTAGGAATAATATTGCGGTGGAGGAGGAGGAAGAGGATGAGGAGCAAATGACGAGCAGGAACAGGAGGAAGATGGAGGAGGGGAAGTGAAGGATAAGAAAAAGGAGAAGACGCGCGTCGCTGCGGATTCAAAACGGAGACCCGACATACCGCAAGATTGAAGGCGGTGCGGCCTCTCTTTTCCTACCCACCTCCTGCCCACATCACCCCCCCTGCCCATCTCCTTCCAACAAGCCATCGCACACTCGCGTCTGACGCGCGAACCCAGCGGCGCCACTCCCTCCTCCTCATCCTCCTGCGTTCCACCCCCTCCTCCTCTCCCTCCTTCTCCTCCTCCTCCTCCTCCTCCTCCTCCTCCAGCTCTCTCGATCCCCGTTCCTCTCCTCCTCCTCCTCCTCCTCCTCCTCCTCCTCTTCCTCCTCCTCCTCCTCGTCCTCGCGCCTCCTCCTCCTCCTCTTCCTCCTCCTCCTCCTTCTCCTCCTACCTTCCCCCCCCCCCTCCAATGTTCCCGCTCCCGATGGTACCCTCTCCACTCCGCCCCCCCCCTCCGTACCGCCTGTCTCCTGTCGTAGGCGTCGCCGCCCGAGAGCAGTAGCTCGCGCAGCTTCTCGCACAGCGCCTTCCACGCCTTGCGCCATCAAGCCAAGGGCGGGGTGAGCGAGGGGGGATGAGCATTGTTGAACAGCGAAGGAGGACGACTGGGAGGAGGAGCAGGAGGATGAGGAGGAGGAAGAGAAGGAGGAGAGGAGCAGGAGGATGAGGAGAAGGAGCACGAGGAGGAGTAGGAGGAGGAGAAGGAGGAGAAGGAGGCGGGGGGAGGCGGAGGAGTAGAAGGAGGAGGACGAGGATAATGAGGATGCGGAGGAGGAGGAGGATGAGGAGGATGAGGAGGAGGCGGGGGGGGGAGGAGGAGGAGGAGGAGGAGGAGGAGGAGGAGGAGGAGGAGGAGGAGGGAGGAGGAGGAGGAGGAGGAGGAGGAGGAGGAGGAGGAGGAGGAGGAGGAGGAGGAGGAGGAGGAGGAGGAGGAGGAGGAGGAGGAGGAGGAGGAGGAGGAGGAGGAGGAGGGAGGAGAGGGGCGAGGGAGTAGGATGCGGGGGGGGAGAGGAGGAGGAGGAGGAGGAGGAGGAGGGGAGGAGGAGGAGAAGGAGGAGGAGGAGGAGAAGGAGGAGGTGGAGGTGGAGGAGGAGGAGGAAGACGAGGAACATGAGGAGGAGGAGGAGGAGGAGGAGGAGGAGACGGTAATGGAGGAGGAGGAGGAGGAGGAGGAGGAGGAGGAGGAGGAGGAGGAGGAGGGGGCGAGCACGATGATCAAGATGACAGCATCATTTAACTGACTCCTATCACCATTGTCGTGGCCTGGGCCCTACTGGCCGACTTGCCCCCCTTAGAGGGGGATATAGGCAATTTCATTCGGCTTCGGAGGCTATTTCCCCAGCTGGGCTGCTGAGATGGTGGTGGTCAAGATCGGATGGAGATGGGGATAGGGGTCGGTGAAACGATCCTGAAGGGAGGAGGTGGGTTACTGTAACCGTGGGAATAACTGCATAAACAAACTGTCTCGGATCTCCTCACGGATGTCTTGAATCAGCGCTGGAACCCCGTCCCTGGCGGACCCCAACACCAATCCAAGAACTCCGCACGGAGCTCCGTTTATACCGTTTGTTTTTGTTGCTCTTCGATGGAAACTGCTAAACCGTCGTTTTCGCTAATTCTGCTCTGCCATTGGTGTTGCCATCTCTGGCGCAGTGTTCCCAGCTGGGTCGCCGCATGTCTTCAAGCTCTGCATCGGGCTCTAATTCCAGAGAAATGTTGTATCCCTTTTCCAATGGCAATATTTTGACATTCCAAAATTCCAACAATATTACTGGGAAAACGGGAATAACAGCCCTGCGGTGTCTGGGGCCAACTGTGGGACTCCTCGTCATCCTCCCTCTGCTCTTCGTCCCTTCCTCATACCTCTTCCTGATGATCCTCCTCCTCCTCCTCCTCCTGATTATCCTCTTCCTCCTCCTCTCGTACTCATAATTATCCTCCTCCTCCTCCTCCTCCTCCTCCTGCTCCTCCGGTTCCTCTCCACATCTCCCCCCCGATACATACCTGAGACCTAACATCTGCATATATCCACAGCCCCCCTCCCCTGCGGATTTGCCTTTCCCTTCCCTACCCCGTTCTCCGCCACCTCCTCTCCCCGTCCCCTTCCTCCTCCTCCTCCTCCTCCTCCTCCTCCTCCTCCTCCTCCTCCTCCTCCTCTTTCCCCTCCTATCTGAATCCTGCTCCCCATCCCTATCCTCTGACCTGTACTCCCCTCCACGTTGTCTTCATCCTCTACGGCTTCTTGCTCACCCCTCCTCATCCGCCCTCCCGCCATGTGCACAAGACCTGCACGGGAGGGGGATGAGGATGAGGAGGAGGAGGAGGACGAGGAGGAGAAGGCGGCGGCCGAGGAGGTGCAGGGGAAAGAGATCGGACGGTGGGGAGCCTTGGTCCACGGCTTCGCAACGTCCTCACGCGGCTGCCGGAACCTCTGGCACATCCACACCAGCGCCTGCCTCACCTGGCTCAGCGAAGCGAGCTCCCTCTTGATGGCCTCGGAGGCGAGCAACCGGGGCTGGGGCGAGGGCGACGGCCTTCGAAGAGGGCAGGGTGCCTCTCAGAAGGCATGGGCCCTCTCAGAAACCACAGAGCCCACAGCTTGTTGAAGGGGGGGAGCGAGGAGGGGCGAGGGGGGGAGGGGACGACCCAGACCCTCGACGTCGTGATTCTTGTGTACGTCTACATGCAGATATAGACAAGGGACACGTCGACACCCCGAGGCCTCGACGCATTCCCACGGGCCACCTCTTCATCACGGGTCGCCTCGTGGACGGTCCCCCAAGGCCCGGGGAGGGCCTCCGACGGCCGAGCGCTGCGCAAAACCTCCCCTCGTGATCTCGTCACGACCCGAAGAGGTCTGGGGAGGTCAGCGCCCCTCAAACGGGGACTCCACTAACGGGTACTTTGGCCAGTGACCCAGCGAACCCAACCCTTCCCGATGTGGGCGAAGCTGCAATGCAAGAAAAAGGCCCTAAAGTGGCAACTTTCGGCAACAAAATCAAAGTACCCGTTAGTAAGTACCCGTTACGGTGCCGTTGAGAAGGAGGATCGGCAGTGAGCCCGGGGGGAAAAGAGAAGGTGCGGGCCTTCTCGCAAGGCTCGGAAACGCCACGGCATCCTGAGAAGTCCCCTGAGCCTTCCCCGCAGACGCAGAAAGGTTCTCACCGGGTATATCCGGCGCGTGATTTTACCACGGATCGAGCTTGCCCGAAAATGGAACCAAAAGGCCTAAAGCAATGAAATAAAACTACCTCGAACCTCGAAGCTGGCGGAAATAAAACCCCGCCGGAGGAGGAGGAAGAGGAAGAGGCGAGTCTGAGCGGAAATAAAACCCCCCTGGTATAAAAACCATTCCTGGGCCGCCTCCAGAGGCCCCGGGGGAAGGGGGCCCGCCTCCCAAGACCAAACGCATCCAGTGAGGTCGGGCCCTGGGGTTACGCCGACATCTGGGTCGGAAGACGGGTCGAGCGGGAACCCGCAGGGCACAAACACGCTGCATAACCCTCGCAGGGCCCACAAGTTCTCCTAGCCCAAGGGGGGCCCCTGCATGAGGGTCTCGGGGGGGTCTGGACCTTTGTCACGTGCGGAGAGGCACTGCGACATCATGAAATAATCGAGGACGCTGTGGTTGCAAGTGTCATCATCAAGCGCAACCGCTAGGAAATGCAAAAAGCCGGGCCAAACAGACGCCACCAGCTCGTCCACGGGAATGTTCCAGCCGCCGCCGACGATCGCAGGCCACTCCGCCGACCCAACGAACTCACCTAGAATGGACAGGAGGTCTTGGCTCCTCAGGCCCAGCCCTTCGTTTGTCACCAGGTGCGCCGAGACAAACACAATCTTAACGTCACTCGTGACCGAGACCAGCTGTGCCACCAGCCTGCGTCGCACCCTCTCGGGGAACGCGGGTGCGAGGTGCTTCGCCCCCGCCGACACGCGGGACAGCGCAGCAACCCCGCCCGAACGCTCCAACGCTCCATCTCCAGTAGCTGTCGCAGCACTGCCTGCATGGTGAAGCTTGCCTTGCCCGCCCACGATATAGGCGACGCCGCGCTGCTGTGCAACCAGCGGCGCGTCTCCTGCAGAAAGTAGCGGTGAACCTCCTGACCCTTGTCGCGCTTCACCCATTCCAAAAAGGCATGGCCCGTAGTCCAGGCATTGCACTTATGCGTCACTAGCTGAAGCGTGTCGTCCAGCTCTGTCTGAGTACGCTGCCCTTTGTCAGCGGCAGCGCCGAGCACAGAACGCAAATGAAGTCCGATGAGTGGGCCCTGCAGCGAATCCGACTGAGCACCCCTGGGCCCAACATGTGGCTGGCCCCCTCCTGGACTCAGCGGCGCGGCGGCGGCGGGCTCCCAAGCATTCTGGAGCCTCCGCGGCGGCGGCGCTCACGCTGGTCACTGGAGGAACCCGTGCCCCT